GGACCCGACTGGGTTGAGATAATGGCGAAAACAGTGTGGAGACGTGTGTGGAGATGTTCTCCCTGAAAGGCTTCTATATATCTACTTCACTTGGGTAATCTTCATCACCGACTGTCCTTGGAAGCAGTTGACCCCTGTCCCTACGATGCCCAGGTGCTTTCTCCATGAATGCCCTGGTGCTTCACTACTATCTCGCTCTCTTTGATGAAATGATGAGACCTGCGAAGCTTGTAACGAGAGAGCCATAACTCGGTCCCTCCTATTTACCTATCCTACATAGAACCATTTGAGCAATCCAGGGAGGGAGGAGGGGGGGGATCGGGGTAGGGCGTATTCAGGGGTTGCAAAAGAGTTGCACCTTGGAAGACATTGGGGCTGGCGCACAGCAGCCTTGCGTGGGTGGGGGAAAAGAAAAAAAAAAGCAAAAAGTGTTCGTTAGAAGACCGTAAACTAATTGTACCGGTAGTGCCTCATGGACTAGGATGCTCTAAGCTTCTTGAGATCGCCGGTGGAACGTAAGTCCGTGAGGTGGACGGGTGGGAAGGAACATCTGTGGTCATAATTTTGCGATTAACCTGGCTTTCGTAGCCTAGTTTTGTTCTATTTAATAAGCCATCTCCCAGTAGATCCGGTATAATCTCCAAAACATCCTGACGCGCAACACATTACCCTCCACTCGCCAACGTCCCCAAGCCAAACAGGGACATATCACCCTCCAGAACAATAAACATGAACAGCGGCAGTAGCCCACGGGGAACTGCTCACGGACAGAACTTCCGTACTCCCCAGGGTCTACCTAACGCCAGACCTGGCCCCGGCCACCATTCTTCTAGCGGTCTCAGATCAGGAGCGAGCGAGGCTATTACTTTACCGCCCGGCCGTTCCACCCCTCGGGAATTGATCGAGATCCAGCAGCGGCTGCCTCGGATGCTGCCTATCGCTGCCCCCGACGCAAGAAAGCAGGGCGCTGAGTTGATGCAACTCACTGATAAGGTGGCCGATGAGGCTGGAGCGAGCCAGGTGTGGATTTCGGGGGTGTTTAAAGGAAAAGACTTGAAGTAGAAGCGCGAAATGAGCGGATCCATAACGTGGACGACTCCTTTTTTATTTTGTTCAGGCTTGCCGCATACCCACTCTTTGCTATGATTCCGGCGTTGCTTGCCTTGGTTATCCAAGTTCACAATCATGTCTCTCATTATTCTTTCTCTTGGGCTGGGCGTTGGGCCTCTATGCTTCTTTTCTGCATCCCTAGCCACTTCATTTAGTGTCTCTATACTTCATAGTTTGTCACTCGAATGTCTTTTCTGATCGGATACTGTCTGCACAGCGTATGGCGCAATACGATGAAGTACGGGGACTTGCTGTAAAGTTATTAGACGTTCGTTAGCGGGGCTGGTATAGAAAAATCACCTTAGATCTTAATGGGAGAGGGTTTTCACAGGGCCACCGATGAAGAAATGGAAACCTAATTTGAGTTTATAAAATAGACGATTAATTCCGGCGTTGCGGATAAGGATATTGTGGATTCAACTTGGTTCTTCCTCCGTAGCGCCCTCCCTTCACAATCCTCCTCATATGCTACAAAGCCCCATCCTTAAGTCTTGTCTAGCCATCCTGTAATCTCTGCGGGTTGAGGACCCAAGACTCGCCTGTTATAGGGTTACTTAATTCATCAGTAATTTCAGCGACGCGAGCTCCTATGGAAAAACACACACGCTACCCGTCATCGAACCTTGTAGTGCTAGATATAGGGTCCTCCGGTATTATACATTACGGCCGTGATATGGGGTACGATATAACTGTCGTTTGCAATAAAGTAGCTCACTGTATTATTGGAATATAGGGTTAGACCATGAGGGATTCCTGAATTGGAAGACTTTGGAACGATATATGAGGTTTGGCTATGGGTGGAAGGAAGAGTTGTTATAGTACTGTACAGTACTCGGGTGTATTTCAAACGCTGCCAAGAATCACGTTGGTTGAATAGTCATACACTCATCACTCTAGTCTCCTGAATGGGTACCAAAGAGTACTCATCTACCAGGCCCCAGCTCGGTGACCCCTCCTCCACAACGGACACTGTGCCGGCCAAAAGACCCATCGCCGGGCCAAAAGGTACAAGCGGTAAGTAATAAAACCATAGACTGCGGAAGGGCACCACCGGCGAGATTCCAGCACTCCTGCTACCCGTATTCGAAAGTCCCCCCGGGCTTTGATGTATGAGCACAAGCGGCAACGGGTGGGGAATTTAGTAAGCTAGCCTTATCGTAAGTTCTTCCCGCATCGCATGATTGAGAGCTCCGTCCAAGAAGCCCTGGACCAATTGAAAAAGAGAATCGAGCGTCGACCTTTCATCGGGACCGGGATGTTTATGGCGGTCAGGTGCATAATTGGTGGGGGAACTATTCACCAGTAAACTGGGTGCGCAGCTCTGAGAGAAGGGCGCGGAGGGGGGGGAGGTTTCCAATTCGCCACTGGCATAGATGTAGGGACCAAAAAGTAAATAATGGATGATCAAGCAGGCACCGGACCACTGCTACCAATGAGTTAATAGCATGCTCAGTTAGCGTCAAGGGGCTAGGAATTTGAAGTAGACAACAAATTTATGGCTGGGTAAGTAGATTTGTGATGGGCACTAATAATAGATAGTCGATAATCGGCGGTTTTGACTTGCACGCGCTGTTCTCCCCCTACATGCGCGTTGCAAGTGGGGTGCTGTGAGAAAGATTATATGATGCTCTCTTCTCTCCCATCACCGATCAAGGTTGAACACGCAGGTATATGATGCGGGCGAGAGGGGTTATCCGACATCAATTCTGGTGATCCCCTGTCACTAAGATGCCAACCAGCAGCACTTATACGCCCATCGTATAAGCTGGAAATCGACCTGAATGGTATGAGTTTTTTTTTTTTTTTTGATAGCGGGGTTTGCAGGTGTTATGATACTTTTTCTAAGTTTCAGGGCTGTGGGAGGACGGAGATGTGCGCAGAAAACTCCAGCAGTGCCAGTCTGTGTCCAGGGGATAACTGTATCTTGGAGGGAGCATATTTGATATGGCGTGTTGGTTGGGATAGAGGCCGGACGAAATGCTCGCTGAAATACGTCAAGTGCTATTGTTTTGTTTTCCCAACACTACGATTGATGGCACAAATTCGATCCTCCTCCTTTCGAAAAAGAAAGGGAAAAGAAGAAAGTTTCCCTGCACATAATATGATGTGACAGAGGGGGGTGATGAGAATTTCTCATAAATGCACAAGGTTATGGTGTTTGGAGTTCTGGACAATGATGTAGGATGTTTTGTGGGGAGTGTTTGGGAGATTAGCGGTTTTTTTTTTGCCGTTCCCGGGCTTTGGTGGCATGCGGGGCCGGCCGAGGGGGCGAGGCGTGAGCTTTTTTCTATTTTAAAATCGAAGCTCTGAGAGACCCTTTGCTTGTGGTCAAGAGAGAAGTGCGCATTGTCACGATAGGCCGCTGGTTGCCCCCAAAATTCCCTTCGAATACCTTTGCAGGATTTGTCCCCCGGGGAACATAAAAAGTTGCCGGGGGTGATTTAAGGCAACGCTTATGCGGTTGATCGTGCACAAACTTGCTGCCTTTTTTTTATCTGCCTTCTCTGACCGGCATGCGAAAAAGAAATATAATGCACAGCTGATGGTAACACTACCTCCACCATGTACGCCAAGTTAGTCCCGAGCACGAGTAGAATAAACCCTCCTCGAGCATGCCGTGCTGGAGTGAACCAATGGAAGGAAAAGGGGGCACTGACAGAAGGATCCATCATTCTGAAAACATGCCCTATCATTTTTCCTCCCCAATGGTGCAGCGCTCGAGCATATCATACCTACATACAGGTATCATGCATCCATACCCCGGAGCGTTGATGCCCCGCACCTGTAGCACGGGGAAGAACGGGATGAATAATTTCCTACGAACGATACAGGTAAAATACACTTTGCTATCATTCGATCGGGATACACCGTCCCACCTCCCGCTGTTGGAAAAGATTGCTTTTTAGCCCCCATTTTCTCTTCAATTCAGTCTCGGGATCAAAGCCGTGTTCCTGTGTTTGACCACATCTCCTGGGAGCTCCCACTTTTCAGAGGAAACCAAGTGTGGATTGCAGGACTTTCTTCAATTGTACCCCTGTTCATTGCTCTTGTGGAAAAGCCTCTTCGCAGGGCTCATCAGCTGCGGTCCGGAGAACCGGGGAAGGAGAGCTCACCGAACCTCTGGCCTACCTGATAGTGCAATAACACCACGCCCTCTAGTTGGCCTATGTTGATCTTGAGTTGAATCTACAGGTAGCCAAAGCTTTCTCTAGCCTTTGACCGGAGGCGGTGCGTCTGAAGTTGGTGTACTGGACAAGTGGGGAAGTATGGCCGAGTTGCTATTGCTGAATGTATCTGGAGCTCTGGTGGATTGAAAACTGCACGTCAACGGCGGGAGCGGGCCAGCTAGGAGGTGAAGCTGCTGAGCAACTCCCTCCGCATCTACTTGTGCCTTTATGTCAGGGTGACCGTGAGATGCAAAAGTGATATCCAACTACAAGCACCTACACCATGCACTTAAAAATTAGTTACCGGGTTGATCATCGCGCTCCCAGAACCTACTTTGGTGCACAGAATCATCCGGGTTTCCTTTGTTAGGATATCCCGGGGATGGCGTAATACGAGTATACCTGAGGTACACCTCTGTGAATATAGCGAGCATCCGGTGATTCATAGGCCTTTTATCTTAACCTTGTTTTGGCTCATATCAAAAATTGGCTCTCCGCGTAGTTGTGTTGAGGCCAGACTTGTTTAGGGCAGTAGTCTACCGAGCAACAGTGTAGAAGTCTGCTGGCTTGCTTATTGTAAATGTTTGTTAGGTTTCTGTCCGGAGGCGTTTCAGAATCTGCTTAATACCAGTCGTACAAATAAGCCCTTCTCATACTTTCACAAATGATCGCACCCGGACGCTCATTGGGTTTCCGGTTTATTTAACGCTATGCCACAAAACTCTGGGTGAAGAAATGGTGCAATATGAGGTCTAAACTGTACACATGCTAACCTCATTATCATACATCTCAAACTAGTCATAATCCAATCAACCCTTTGGCAATTACATCAGACCATTCATCAACTCGTCTAACGTGATTCCCTTCCTAACAGCGTTTGAGAACCCTTCGTGAAAGCTCACCCAGACCTTCTGCTCCTCCGCCTTCTCGTCCTTCTCATCTTTGCGCCTTTTCTTTCTCCCCTCCTCTGTATCTTCCTCATCCGCCCGTGTGACAATACGCCCGAAGAAGTCTTTCTTGATTTCTCTGACCTTCCTTTTCAAGTTCGGAGTATTAGGCGTGGCGGTAGGTTTTTTGAGTTGAGGGATATCGTTGGACACACCCATGCGTGACTGGCGGGCAAGCTCGCGGCGGCGGAGGAGTTCTTTCTTGTGCTCTTGATCAAGAACTTGGCGGACTGCGTATCTCACAGGGGCTGGAGCTGATTCTGTAGAGATTGCGAGGGTGGGATATACAGATAGAGTGTCGATTGGCCTGTGAAAACAGTGTCAGTTAAATTGAAGTATTAGCAGTTTACGGTTTACATACGGTTCCATCCTGTATATCCAACCTGAGCCAAGGGTGGTCATGCCCTCCACTCTAACCTTCTCGAACTCGATTCCCATGCCACACATTACTTCTACCCCTCTGCTCACCAGCTTTTTCTCGCTTTCCTTCCGTACACTCGCTATTCCTCCGGTAGACCCTGAGCCGCCGACAACTACGGGTTTAACGGAGGGCGAGAGTATCCGGGCAACCCAGGGTGCCAGCTCCATAGCAATGCTTCCAGAGCTCTTGAAACATTGATGAAGGCGGATTCCTCCAAGACATGAATGAACACTTTGTATCAGGGCCTTATTCTCCTTAATCCCTTCTCTAACTTCCCATTCTGCTGCAAACCCTGAGAAGGGCGGTGGATCGACTTCTTCCTCAAACTGGCTGCCGTACCTGCCGGTGGTCGATTTCTGTCGCTTGGGGCTGCAGAAAAGGTTATGGAAGGCAAGGATAGGCTGTGAGAGGTACCCTGTGAGCTCATACTCCTGCTCTTGAAAAACGCGAGATGAAATAAGGTCAGAGAAATATAACCACTCCGACGCTGCATTTGGTTTGGTTAACAAGGAATCATCATTGTATGGACGCGTAGGATATGTAGTGAAACAGTCCATCATGATTTTGTCAAACTCTCCTAGCCCCTCGACGAGCTCTCGTAGCTTTTCCCCGCTCGTCCTCTTCACCCGTGTGTCTGTAAAGCCGGCTCTTTTTGTCGCTGGGTCATTGTAGAAGACTCTCTCAACGGCTTCTCTGATATTGCCTCTTCCGCCTCCTCCACTTTTCCCATCTCCCTCGCCCAAGCCCCCGTCTCCAAACTCCTCCTCAACAATCTTCCGGGTCAGAATCCTCATTTCCCTCCGAGATTTGGAGTCATCACCACATTTTGTTGCCGCTGATCTCAGCCTACAAGCTATCCACTCGCACCCAACCACAGCTGCTCGCATATCTCCCGCAGCCTTGCCTGTAGAGTTGCCACCCATACATGAAAGCTCTACCAGCCGGCGAACAGCGCCGTCCTCAGTTCTAAAACCTTCATGTTCAAGAATCGATTTTAGCCTTCCGACTATCGGCCCAACTGGCGGTTTTCGCATGTGTACTATTTCAGCCAGAGACCTCAGAGCCTTGAGCGCAGGGGCGTAGAGGTCGTTGCAGACAGCCACGATAGGTCTCTGGAGCTTGAAACTATCACCATTTCTGCGGCCTTTCTTCTTTGTCACCCCTTCGGCGATGTTATCCAACTTTTGGTCTGTAAGAACGAGGTCTATCAAGGCTTTGATAAACCCCCCCTCATTGGCACCTGCACCTCCACCGCCGGCCACACCATCGATCTCGTCGACGACCAGACAAACTGGTTTCCCCATTGTGACCCTAGATAATTTTTGCTTAGCTCCACTTGTTATCGCGCCCATAGCTTTGACACCCTCGTTACTCAAAATATCCTTAATCCTCCCTTTCACAACACCAGCACTTCGCTCATCTGAAGCGTTGACTTCGACAACGTCGTAGCCTGCTTGCCTAGCTGCGACATGGGCTAAAGTCGTTTTCCCAAGTCCTGGTGGCCCATGGATAAGTAAAATTTTTCTCAACTCTCGACTTTCGTTTTCGTCCTTATTCTTCACAGGTCTGTTTGTCACGGATGGAAACACAATTTTATCCCAGGACTTGAACCAGCGAAGGACTTGTCGATGCGTACGCTCATCACCCACTAAATCAGTAAAGCGTTTCGCTCGATATTTCTCCGTCCATAAAAGAGTTTTCTGGTAAGCGATATTTGGGCCTTCTGCCATTGCGTTTGTGGATGGTTTATGCTCCGCTTCGTGACGAGTTTTTTTCATAATATTTTTTTCTATTTTGTATTCATCGAGTAAGGTGTGAATATCAACGCCAAAATATATATTTTTAGATGAACCAGACTGCTCCAACGGCTTATCACCCAAGATGGGAACATCAGACATATGGTAATCATCCCGCGCGCTGAAACTCTTCTTTGGTCTCTGCTTTACTTGGATTGTCTCACCGTCTGTAGTGAGAATGGGAATATAAGTATGAGACTGCGTTGTACTGTGGACGGTTGAAGGCGTGGGGATAGGTAAAGCAAAGTTGGTCTGTGCGGAAGGCTCAAAGGAGTTACTTTTATTTGCATCGGGTGAAGGAAGTTGCGGCGGAGGGGTAACATCCGGTCGAAAAGGTTGAACTCCAAGAATCGATGCAACCTCTTCAGAAGTCATCTTGTTCTTCTCTGCATCCTTCTCTGCCGCATTTAGATGGTATTCGGGGTTTTCCGAAGCTGAAAATTTTCTGCTGAAAATGCCACTAGATAAGCGCAAATTGAATACAGGCTTTGGAGGAGGTGATTTTGGCCCTGTGGCCGGCTGTTCGAGAAGTGTGGGAGGAAGATTCTGAGAATCATTGTCACCCGAGCTCAATGCGCTCCCTAGTCCCTCCAATGCCTCTTCTTCATCAGAGTCGGGATAAGCAAATTCTTCGTTGTAGCTATTGTCTTCGGTTAGTGTGGGTTTGGATTTCTTCGTAGTTGGAGGACTTGTGGACTCGAGCGGAGGTGAAGACCGAGGATAAGGAGTCATTGATTCTTCGATTGGCCCACGAACCCTACGCCGACTTGGTGAGGAGATGGTATCCGAAAGAGTAGATTCTGCCTGAGCAAAACCTTCGTACCAAAACCGAGAGGGCCTATGTACACCTTTTCGTGTGGGGGTCGCTGCCCGGGTTAGCACAGAAACCTACTGCAGCCGATAGAAACTTGACTAGCAAGGAAATACCTGGAGGTAGAGAGCTGCTTCTAAAAACAGGTACTGTATCCCTCCGGCGATGTTGAATAACCACCCCTTCCTCTGTCAAACGCGAGCACCGCTCCTCCCTGACTAGATCTAAAGCTTCGAAGTCGTCCGAATATGATTCTATTGGTGGGGTTGGGGGCGCAGCGGAAGGTTCTTCAATGTGATCGGAAGGAAGATAGTCGGAGAAGAATAGCGATGGGTCCAGGTCAGATGGGATTTCCGACATCCGTTTCTCAATCGGTTTGGTTGTTGGAGAGGGGGGAACGCGTTCAACTCTCAGAAGTAGCCTAATTGAAAATCTTGAGGCGCGTTAAAACCACTCTGTCACGCTATTTGCGATTAGATCCATCGGATAACTTTAGGCGCTAAACTATTCTTAGGCAGGTCACTAAATAAAAAGGATATCGTAGTATGTATGATACTCGACATTTTTTAAAGCCTCCAGAAGAGGAGATGAACGAGCAATTCCCTTATGGTATAGTTGTTAGCTTCACCGCGCCAAATTTTGCGGGAACTAAAAAAACGTCGAGTATTTGTGTAGAATTATACTAGTACGAGTACTAATGCTCATATTAGACAGCAGCCGGGCCATCATGCTTGCTTGTGCACCGCCCTGGTCTACTAGATTACTAGTCACGGTGACATTTGAATTAGTTGTCACGCTAAATTATTATTTTCTAGCTGGTAAAGTTCGCATGCTATGCTATATCGCCAAGGGAGGTTTGAATTACCGGTATAATAGATGAGCCTCATTTATTCCATTACTTGTTCACTGTAAATTACCTCAGGGTAACCATCTGGACTCGCTGATGTCCCGCCGATTCTAGCATGTCTTAAGAACATAGGGCCTGTTTGGTAAAAAAGGAAGGAAACGGTCATTTGTATGGGTCAACGGAATGGAACCATTTCATCCAAACAGGCCCATAGTTTTAGCTCCCCCGGACCTCAATAGGATAGATCCGAAATTAATTGTTTACCAATAAACTAAGCCCTAGGTAAAATGTCAAGCGGTGGGATAAAGACAATTTTTTTGCCGATAATATCATCCACGATCTATGGTAGTGAGAGCATCACCTCAAAACTCTCAAGTGCAGGGACAAGTTAACCATCAAAATGCCCTGATGAAACCCTTATACCATAATGATTAAGTCCGATCTTGGACAGTTCTTATTTAACCCCTACGCATTCAGTCAGAGTCCGGCAAACCTAGTAACGAGATACCACGTGCCCCCATATTCTCCCGAACCTCCTCCAGCCTCCCGGGGACAACTGGTCCTCCCCCGGGGGAATTTCTCAGGATACCACTACCTCATCTAGCTCGACAGTAACAGTAGAAACCTCAGCTGATCATCATTGTGAGTCTGTATTGTTGCATGGTTAATGGTCATTATGGGCCTCAAAACTCATAAGTTAGGTTACATGGTAGACATCAGGGTGGTCAGTCATAAGCCATATAATGAGATTCATGAGAGTTCCTTTGGCTTAGTACTGCTAGTGGAGTGGGAGATGTAGCTGGGAGTCTGACTTACTTCACCTCAAAGTCTTGGATGGCTTAGTAAAATCTACCGGATATCAACTGGAGCAGGACCATTCTGATTGTTTGTACCGGCAGAGACAACATTTAAATTTAGCTTACACATGATCAGCATGCCTACTAATCTGAGGCATCTGGGTATGGCATGCTCTTCTATGGGGAGACTTGGGTTTCTTGGAGTGGAGGTGAGCCAAAGTTTTTCATATTTTATCATAACCCAAATCATTATGCTTTCCCCTAGATTTTTAGCACTAGGCTCATGTGGGCCTGGAAGAATCTTCTGTGAACCTATCCGAAGGAGCTCCAACTGTGGAGGTGTGGTGGGGAATTACTGGGAAAGGTCCAATTACAGGGGCATGCAGTGGGTACACACATCTAAGATCATGAACTACTCTAGTATAAAATTCAAGGATAATGGGTTGAAATCTGAGTAGAGAGCGATTGGAGGTTCCTTAGGTTTCTGTCATGGCCAGATGTTTTACTAGGTGCCCCACCAATATGGAGGAATGGAAGATTTTGGATGGAATGGACAATGAAATGAACCAATGAGGCTATATAGAAAAATGTAGGGGGTGGGCATCCTGGGGTATGTATACTGCTTCTGGGAGGCATTGTTAAGCACTATCTATATTCTTTGACACAAACACCATCAAGAACCATGTCTGCCCCTGATATTCTTAAAGTAACTGGGGTGGAAATTGTGGATAAGAGATAGAAAGAAGAATCTTTTCCATGGGGCATGCCAGTGCATCCAAGCACGAATATAGTCCAACCCTAGGGATTTCCTAGATTTGGCATTGGGCATTAGGTTTAGTGATGCAGTATTCTGAGAACCATACGGCATCCCGATGAAGAGGGACCTGAGAGGGAATAAGGGAAAAGCCATCTTATTGAAGAAGGACTTTGACTTGTCTCCAGCTTGTACTTCCTTGAGCGCTTGGTGAATTCAGAATTCAGTCAAGGATAACAGGTGCAGAAGATTTACATGTTCATCCGCCTTCCCGTTCAGGGCTGCCAGGGATTAGTAGGCCCCTGAATCAAATGGGCTCAAGTGCCTACAAGCCTATGGCATTTCATATGCCTTGATAGGATTATAAACCTCTAAACTGAGTAGGCAATCTACACAATCTAACACATACACACTATACGGGGAGGTCAAATTAGAACTGGCATGCTGACATTGCACATCACATCACTGAGCTCTGGGTTTATAAGAACTTCTGGAGTAGAAGTATTTAGTAGTTATGGGAGGAATTTATGAAACAACCCTTTTAATGAGCTGTATGGCCTATATATAAGCACTTCAGGGTCTTGTATGAGAAGATGTATGGGGCCACCTGAAAGATCTATTGGGGCCATATCTTGTCTGCTAGTGTAGATGGGAAAACTTTGATTCCGATTTCTTGTATTTGATCTAAGGGGAATCTTCGTAAGTGGGAGGGTACAGTTTACTCTGTGGCCCATCTATTCTATCCATGAACTCCCTTTATTCTCTGAGGTATACACAGGAGCTAGGATACAACAAGTGGACCTAAAGTGGAGTTATCATAGAAAGGATAAGTAGATGAAGGAGAAAAATTTACTAATTTGAAATCAAGAATTCGGTCAGTATATCCACAGAGGATGCTTGACAGAGTGGACATAGATGAAACCAATGGGAGTAGGGCCGGGATCAAGATGCTAGATACTAGTAGTCAGTTGAAGATCTATGGTGAAGGTAAAATCAGCTGGAGTACTTGGCTGTATGAAGATATCATATGTTTTCACACTTTCCATTTACAAAAGGTATTTTTAATGTGCCTCGATGGGAGTGGGTTATATAATCACAGAAACTGTATAAATGAGACATTCTGAAGGGTTCCTGGAGAAGAAATCCCGCCTCATCGCTGGCACCTAGGATGTAGACGGCTCTAGGATCAGTGAGGCCTGGGAGTCCCCCAGGAAATTTATCGGTGACAGCATCTTGCTCTTTGCAGGGTGGTGCTCTAGGCCAGAGGACTGAAAGTAATCAGCTCTGGTTCCATGAAGGAAAGCAGTAAAATGATAATACAGTATCATAATGGGTGTGTTTTTTTTGCACGCAGTTAACTCAACAGTTAAGTGGCTACGGCAGGTGACTCTGTGTGGCTCTACATCCACAAAACTAGGTGTCATAAGGGGTTTGGGCCACCAAAATGAAATTACTTTACCCACCTAGTACCACTAATTGTTCTAACTTTTGATGGTGTATCGCGGTCACAAAAGGTATTACAATACTGCGCAAGGGGGAAACAAGATACTACGATACAAATTGTGCGTACGCATGGGGAGTGTTAGATAGGTTTGATAAATAATGTGGGTTCTGGTGGTACCATCATTTACAATCACTCGACAGTAGCAGTATTACCAAATAGGCTAGTGTGATCTTACTCCCATGGACATATGGGGGCATTCTTGCCTGGGGCTCTTCCACCGTCCGGGGGAATTACAAACATCAAAATTATTTTCCTACGATAATTATGATATCCAAAACTATTCCGGCCCCCCTGCCTAGGGCACAGGCCCTAACGAGTGTAGCTCTGGCCTAGCCCCCTCCTCCCCATTGTCAACTTCTGTTCTAACCCTTCCCTTCCCGTCCTATCCCGTCCTATTGGGCTTGCCTAGCCATATCCACATTTCTCCCACCTCCCACTCCCAACTCTCCCTCACACTACCTCTTCCTCGCTAGGAAATTCTGAAGCTCGGATACTGGTAACCTATTCCATCCTCACTCGAACCTTTTCACCAGTTCTCTCAGCATTCAATTAGTATGTCAACCAATCCACGTTTCACAAAACACTGGCAGAGAAAGATTAACTTGAATAAAAATACCCCGGCCGCTACCAAGCACATACCCGGCAAATGTCCTCTTCTTTCCGACAATTGTAATACTGAATATTCACCTATCGGACAAGTAACTATGCCACCTTGCACTTCTGAAACTGCTCTCTCCAGGGGAACGAAGGAGTCTGAGAAAGGTATGGTCTCTTCCGATAGTGGTTTCTTGCCGGTGCATACCCACTGAAGCAAACTTGACGGAGTGATAGACAAGTACGAGGTCTCCTGTGATGAGGACTTTGATGCCTGGCTTACAAAATGGGAAGCTCAAGAAGCTCAACGTGTTATTAATGGTGCCCCTATCAGGTATAATGAACATGGTCAGGAAATCGATGATGACTTGGAGGAATATCTCAGCAAAGTCCAAAGGGAGATATCCCGTAGTATTTTCGAGAAAACCACTGAGGGAGTCCTTGCGCATAAGGACTGTGAGGAAGCTGGGCTTGTCGAGAGAAAACCGGGATATTTGCCACCACCACTGCTAAAGCCTAATTTGACAGACGAGGTTCCGGAGGATATTAAATATATGCGTCAAGCCGAGCAACAGGGATTCGGGACTCCCATGCAAGGGATTGCGATAACCGCTGCTGTATATCAGGATCTCAATAGCGAGATCGACAAGGAGGAGAAGATCAGAATTGAGATGAAGAAAACCACTACTAGGGTGATGAGTGGAAAGGATACATCCGTCAGGGCTTCCTGGACCGGTGATGATAATACTGCCACAAAATCACCTTCTAATAACCAAAGCACCTTTTCTATCAACCAGTGTATCAGCAGACCCCCGGGATGGCCTGAGTCTATACCCCTCCCTCCAACGAGTAGAAATCGGAATAGTTGCCAGCCTGGCCAGCCCGATCAGTCTCCCATTGCCAATTCTAATGGCGGCGAAGAGCCTAATACTCTCTGTGAGTCCGAAAGTCCTAGAGCAATAGGGTACTACCAAGGCACCGAGGCTTATATTCGGACAGATACCGCCTATACTAAAGGACCGGCCGCCAACCCCACCCGTGATCTAAACAAGGTATCTTCTAGACGCAAAAGAAGCTCCGGTAATGACCCAAGGAAGAACTTCCAAGGCAATCAGAGACGCAGGATATCACTCGATTCCTATGTGCAAACTGGATCAGATGACTATCAGGGCAATAGGGGCCGTGCAGGGCATCGCGAAAGAAGGAGAGGGCGAAAAAATCGTGGTCGTGGTCACCAGCGGCGCAGTCGCCAGAAATGAGAAGGGTTTTAGTGCACCAATTTTCGACTCGGGGAACCTCATCTTCGTTGGAATGTTGAATTGAATTGCACGAACATTCTCACCTTCTCGACAGTTCCTTTACCTTTGGCTCGCTTGCTAAATGTTTGCATTATTCCTGGATTGGGTTGATTTCGGTAGTTCAACTCAGTTGTGTCAGTTTCCTCCTTGGGATTTGTATTTAAACTACATTTTTTAGTAAGGGAGTCCGTTTCTCAGTTCACGTTATGGATCTAAATGCAGATAGTGTTTTTTTTTTTCTTTTTCTTCCTTTCCTTCTGTCTGTAGGCGTTCGTAGTTGAAGTAGGCAGGACTGAGGTATGATACTTGGTGAAGCATTCCTGCTCTGTCCAAGGCCGCACCTGTGCGATGTGGTAGGTGGGTAACGCTGTAGACTATAGGCTCAACGGGCGAGTGCTGCGCTGTGAATTCCGTATGCCCCACTGTGCCCAGTCAAAGTTTTACAGACCAGGCTGGGTCATCTAACACAAACAAAAATAAACAAGAATAAGTCTTTCATAACACATGCAAACCTCCGGCATGACCGCAGTATTCTTGAAGCGCCTCGGCAAATTACTCTCAGAGTAGAATTCTTACTCTTGGCTAATAGGGTGTTAAGAAGGAGAAAAATAAAGCCCTTCTCTGAAAAGACTTGATCCTTGCAAGTTGGAATGACGTATTAAGGTGGGAGGCCGATAACTTCTCCCCATCGCAACCGACCCCGCATTCTGATCCTTTGAGAACAACAATCAACCAACACCTTAAAATTTCACAGAACTTTGTTCCAATCCATCATGATTTCAGTCGGCTCATCGATTCCCCCTGCTCCTGAAAGTCTCTGGGTTGAGAGAGATAATAACACCGTCTCGCTCCCTTCCAGCGGAAAGTACATTATCGTTGGTGTGCCAGGAGCCTTCACTCGTTCGTTGCCCCCTTTACCCCAATCAAGCTTGTGCGGTTATTGGGGAGTTCTAACGAGTAATTTTCAACATGGTTAGCTCCCTGCTCATCGCAGGTTCCTGGATACATTGAAAATTATGATAAGCTTAAGGAGAAGGGAATTAGTGCTGCTTACGTTGTTGCTGTAAACGATATAGTAAGTTCTTTACCTCGCTTATCCCCCGGTTTGGTATAATTGCGGTTGGTTCATTGATTCTATGACCATCTAGTTTGTCGTGAACGCTTGGAAGGAGAAGCTTGCCAACGACTCTGGTGTCCAGTTTCTTTCGGATTCCAGAGGTATGATAATCACCCAAATATCATCCAACAATAGATATTCAATACTAATCCCGCATATCCGTGGGGCAGGTGAATTCACTAACTCAGTGGGGCTCGGGTTTGATGCTAGCGGATTGCTCGGAAACACCCGTTCCAAGAGATATGTCGCTATTGTTGAGGATGGAAAGGTTGTCAACCTTCAGGTATGGCCTATGGTGTCCTAAGCTGGGAACTTTGTGAAGAGCTACAAACTAATCTTTTGTCAAACAGGTAGAGGATGAAGCCCCTAACATCACTGTCACCCATGTAGACAAGGTCCTCGGGAGCTTGTAGGATGTGTAAGGGCATCTCATAGTCTTGTTATTCTGGCCTGAGGGTCGGTTCATCAAAACAAATCGAGCAATATTTTAACATGAAAGTCGCAATTTGTTAAAAAAGGTCCGCTCTGTGATTTCTAAATTTCGCTTTAGATGGATATCGCCTATGCTGGGTGGTGAGCTAACCATTACTTTGTCGAGCGATTGCCTCCGGTAAGGAAGCCTTCATTGAAGATTGCGCAATATTCAGATAACTGCTGTCTGTGTACGAGAGGAGTGGGTGTTCATGGTGTGGGGGGTTGTGGAGCTTACTCTACGAGTCATAATTCGAAAAGCCCCCTAAAGCAGTAATAAGCCCCTAAGTCGGTCAATCCTCCTCCCTAGTAACCTCTCCTATTCAAGCCAGATGCCGGCATCAATTATCACCGAGAAAACTCAGTCATCTATCAAGGCCCCCACTTTTGATACTTGTAGCATCCTGATAACTAGGACATGGAATATATGTTGCCGTAATATTCCTCTCCCGCACCCACTATAAACCAATACATCCAAATCTGCCTTCCTCAAGTGCCACCATACCCTCGAAGCTAAGCACCAAGAAGTCACTCCAACTCCCCCTTCCAGCTCTTGCTTTTCAGAGGCCTGTTTCGACTTTCACGACCGCTCTCCCTAGAATCCCCACTGTCAAGCGCCAGAGCCGAGGTGTTCGGGAACAGCGGCTCCATCAGGCCCGCATTCCTGAATACCGGGAAGCCCACACGCAGCTTAAGGACCGCTCTAAGCTAACCGCCACTAGTAATACCAACGAAGCCAGCTTCGCAGGCAGCCTGGGAAAGTTGGAGGCACAGGGACGTTCTATAAAGTGAGTGTGGCCGAGAAAGCCAGGAGTTATAAGCCCGATCTGAAGAACTCCGAGCACATGCCAGGAAAGGCCTAGAGACCTCGGGGTAGGGAGGAGGAAGTGTTGGTGATTACTCAAAGTCTATGGCATGGCCACATGCCCGCAGGGAAGGCTGGGTTGGTGCGGGGGTGGATTGATAACTGAGGGTGAGGTTATGGAGGTGGGCGGCGGGCGATGGAAGGCGGTATCTATGGGGAAAAGGGCTGGAAGCTGAAAGTTGAGGTTAAGAATTCTCGGGGAGATTGCAGACGCTGTAGAAACCTAGGCGGGAGTGTTCGTAAATGGTAGATTCAAGAGGATGGGTGATGGACGAGTGATGGACGATGAGTGACATGGAAAGACGTCGCGTCATTAGGGAAAACGTCTATAATATGTGTTGTGATATGGTATGGGAATTGAGAAATTATATACTCGAGTACATTTAATGCATTGGAAAAGTGGAATGTCCACACCCGTCATCCACCCAAGTTACCCATTTCATGAAAAGGTTTGACCTCGAATTACTTAGAAACCACCTCCCCCAACCACCTCAAGTGCGCTAACCAGGCCGCCGACCCCTCCGGCCCCAAGCCAGTGACACCGTGAATGGGTTCCGCGTGGATCCCGTCGGGCAAGAAAAGCTCAACGCCCACCCCCTGCTTGACTAGCCTCTCGTTAAAGGCAAGTAAATCGTCTTTCATGATCTCCTGTGCACCACCGGTAACTAGTATCTTCCCGTCGAGCAAACCCCCACACCCCTTCCACCAGCCCTCCCCAGCACCTAACGCCTGGGTCCATCCATTACGAATCTTGAGCTTGGGATTATACTCTTCAGCCCAAGTCTGGAGGATACCCGGAAACAAGATATCGTGATCAGCAAATTTGGTCATGGAGCTGGCCCCCGTGCCGAAGGTCACCCAAGGTGAGATAAGAAGCACGCCAGCCAGCGGCGACTCAAGCACAATTGGGGGGCCATATGGGGATGGGTGCAAGATGTGCGCGAGCAAGGCGAGACTCAGGTTCCCACCCGCGGAGTCACCACCTAGGAGCATCTTTGATGGGTGGATAGTTCTGAGGAGGTGTCGGAAGAAGGTTATTGTCTGTGTGATCTGGAAGGGGCATTGGTCGCTGGGAGTGAGGGCGTATTCGAGGACCACTACAGAGAGAACTTTCCCTTGCTTTTCCGCTTCGGCAATTAAGCTATCGAAGAAATCCCAATGTCCGGGAGCGGTGCCCAAGTAGAAGCCGCCTCCTGGGGAAGGATTTTAGCACTAGATTCACGCGCTAGTGTAGTGGGGGATGATGATGGGGGCCGGCTTACCGTGGAGGTAGAGGAGCACTTTGTCTGCAGCAGCGGGTTGGCGCCGTAGTAGAGTGCGCTGGCCTTATTGGCCAGCTCCTCAATACGTGGCTTGTATCCACGTGCATCGCAACTCTTCAGATGCAATGGCCGGGTCGTGGCACGAACACGGAAGTAGAATTTACTTATCACGGTTAGCTACTAGACTAGAGGAGGGGGGTGATAGGAGATTACTTTAGTTCAGGGAGAGAAAACCAGCGCAGAGACGTGCTCCCCCCGAACGTGCTAAAGGTCCTTAAATAACCATTCCGGTGGGTTAGCCCCAGGGGTGCGGTAATCTTGTACAGTATGAGTAGTCCGACTAAACAAAAACGTCAATATCGCTCACAGTAGGACGAAGAGGGAAGAGATTCATTACCCCACACAAATATCTTAATGGCAAGAATGATCAGCTCAAACATGGTTCCCGTATATCAACCTGAAGCTACCCGGGTTTGATTTTTCGTGCTAAATCAAACTGCGGGGGGCGCAGGGCCCTTTTTAACCTTAAGCGTTAGAGTTGATATCACAACTCACGCATGCCGCCCGAACGGTGACCACCCCACCAGGCGAGAGAGGAAAAGCGGAATACAAATCACTGATAAACCCCCAGGGATCGCACTATACCCCGTTCATTGTTCCCCGGAACCCGTGGCTTATAAATAACAAGCAATCCCGTCGTGAGATTATACAGGACACAGCAGGAGAACTAAATACAGTGCGATGCCTAGTTTCATCGAGGGTAAAAATTGAAGAGAAAAATGAAAAATAAAACAAAAAGAGCAGAGTACCCTTCACCGAGAATTATCTTATCTTAGCGATTCTTGATTCTTAAGTAGTTATTTTTGAGTTTGTGCATCAGAGGTCACTCGGCAACAGAGGGGAATGGCAACATTGGTTGTGGCATGCCCCTTCCTCTTCCCGATACGTGTGATGACTGCACCGCGTAGGATAGGGCCGATAAGCGGGGTTTCATTGGAGAAAAAGAGGTTCCCCGGGGGTTACGATCTGTCACACATATGGTAAACATGCATACCGTACCGTAACAGAGACATTCTGTTTCGAGTAGTGAGAGTAGCTTGCTACATGATAATGTGGCGATTGGTCATTCGCGCAGGAAGGGGAGTGCTCAAGCTTCCCTCTGTAAAAGTCTACTCCCTGCCAGACCTCTTGGGGCCGGCAGCTGCTTGTACGGGTAACCTTGCAATTTCAAGGGAGGTGTACATACTGCTTAAGTTGCGGGTTTTTTTTTCATGGCGGCAGTTGAACTTGAGATACCCAAGACACGCGGGGGGGGGGTTCCGGGCACGCAGAAATATGCCGTAGTGGTGCAATACAAATATTATCGTGATTTCCATAGAAGCGCAATTGAAGTAATAGCAGTGATAAATATTTCAACCTAGATGCCAGATCCCTCAGGGATGGTGGGTACCAGTACTCGAGTACATGTGCGGTGCTCGCATTATCCTGCAAGCAGACGGGAAGGGATGCGTAGTCTAGACTCTGGAGTGCCGGGGTTGTGAAATCCAAGAAGTTGCGTCATCCACTCTAACTTATCCTGGTGCTCGCTCGATACTACGGAAACATTTAGGCCCTGTTGAGCGCGTTATAATATAATATAAATATATAGCGATAATTTTTGAAAATATTATAGCACATTTCCTAGTGTCCGGAGCAACCAGACTCCAAAGTAAGAATGAATAGAATAGTTAGGTAGGAGGTACCCCTCCAGCTATTCGGGTCGAATCTAAACACAGCAGGAGGCCTAAAGGGTGAGCTGTACTGTACTCGTAAGGAAAATAGTGAGGCCAGGAATGTGTTTTATCCAAACAATGTTCTGCAGCAAGGCTTTCCCCTCCATTTCCCAGCCTTTAGGCCTCCTGGTGCTCTCTCCTCCTAACAGCATAAGGGAGGAGGTAGGGCGGGAGGGGGGCATCTGCTACCTAATAAGATTATTTTTAATTAAATTTTGGAGTCAGCCTTCTTTAAATATTAAAAACAGGTGCATTTCCGGGAAAATGACAAAAGCTGCATAATGTACAATTTTGGTTGTTCCCCGCCGCCCCCCGAAACATCGCCACAGATTTATATTGTGGCTCGCTGAACAGGGTCTCGGTGAGAAGAAATAAGGTAAGGCCGCCCTTTTTGGCAAGACACAATATTATATATAAAAAAAGTATCACAGTTTTTCACAAAAACCCAATTTCCGCTAAAACTCGAATCTCCTTTATGCAGATGTGCAGAGAGGATGAAAGAAACTACACCCGCATAGAAAAAAAAATTACGTTTTCAGCTGGGGGAAGGGAGAAAAAAAAGGGAAATATACTTGGGGGGGGGGGGCTACTAGTTGAATGATTGTATGATATCATATAAATTTATTGTTATTATGATAGAACCAAATTCGTCTGCAACGAAATGACATCCTAAAAGCACAGTACAGTATAATACTGCATTTAAATGAGCCAATAGTACACCCAGATCTTGGCTTTCGGGAGTGGTCCCGTGCCGTCAGCGAGACAACCCGGCGACCGTGGAAAGGTGGGTGAAGTGTAAAAAAGGACACAACACGGAGAAAAAACACTTAGTGAGCCAACGCTTACGGGATCAAACGTCGATTCTCCGTGTCTAAGTTGGAGCCTTACCAGTATGGTTACTATGGTATCATAGCATCATACCGTACAGCACTTGATCTATATCCCCACCCCCTCACAACATCACCCTCTGTCACTCGTCTCCCACGTGATGGTTACAAAAAAAAAAGGAAAACTACTTGAGCTGAAAAGGGACAGCAAACATACAACATCTTGAATCGTAATGCCACTGATTCAAGACTTCCCAGTTTAAAATGAAGCGTGTTACACAAGTATATTTGGAGCCCTCCTCCGCGCCTCCGGCTCATTCTGTGTGTGACACAAAAATCCTAGAAGAACGCTTTCAGCAGCGCATGCTCTCCGACGAGGAAAGACGAGAACTATTCAGAAAGGCTCGCTCAGCCCCGGTTCCAATCATTGAATGGCCTTTCGGAGATTGGGCAAGGAGGAAAAAGAGGGAATCCCTTTTCGAGGAAGCGAAGCGAGCGCCCAGACCAGAGGTTGAGGTACCATTCGGAAGTTGGTCGAAGATTAGCCCGCAGGCCAATTCAAAGAAGGCTAGGAGGGGACCACTACTGGCACCCGAGCGGCCTCTAGGAGAGCGGTCTAGGAAGAAGGACGTGAATGAGCGCAGGCCGCTGCCTACCAGGGTTTCCGAGAGCCCTTTTGAGAAATGGGTTGGGGATATGCTCAGGCGATCAATGTGTTGAGAGACAGTTAGATAGAATAGGAATCCCAATAACTTGAAACCTGTACTAGTACTCCCCCCCCCATCCTCTCGAGTTTAGCCAGAACGGGTCATTTCCAATCTCAAACTGAGTCGCAGCTGTCGCCCACTTTCCTGCCTAAAGACCCCAGTTCTGCATCTTGACCGCCCCAGATGGTGGGTAATAGGGTTCGAGGATGTCGGAAGCATGGTGTTGATAGCAGGACTGACGAAGCAAAAAAAACATGTGGGAACCATGGAAGAGTTTTTTTACTGTGTACGATGGCAAGTTGTATATGTAGAGGACATCTCCGGTAGGCTACAAAACTTAAGAACCACAAGACGCTCGCACAAGAATATAGCCTAAATTAAAGAAAAGGAGCGTGAGGAACGAACAGGAACAACAGTAATGAAAGTTGACAGAAGTGAAGAATCAGCATTAAAGAACGAAGGACAAACAGGAGAATTGAGCATTGTAACGGGGAAAAGCCCACGGGTTCCCATCCCGCGTATCCTTTTAGTTGATCCTACCCAAATCAGCGCCGTTTCGTTGTCTGGTCCCAACTATCCACCTGTGCGCGGCTGTAACGGCAGTCACAGCCAGAGCAGTATGGTGGCATGGTAACGCCTATGTTGAACATGACGATTTCCAAGAATGATGCTGCAACATATAACACCAAGTTAGCAGACGACATACTGCAGTTGATCGAGTATTCACACAGACTAACGTGATGATCATGATACATGGGAAATAGCAACGCGAAGGCGCTGAAGCCGCGGAGGAAGGATTCAACAATGATCACTGTGAATTCTTGTATGGGGTTAGCCAAGCTGAGACCCCAAGACGTGGAAATTTCCAGAACAAGCCATGAGATTCTAGCGTGGCTGTGCAGGCCTTTAGGATCTCATCCATAGAGTGTGCGCCTGCCAAGGGTGAGAAGGATTTCGTTTATCAGGATAAGAATCCTGCGTTTCAAAAGTGACCAGGGTGAATGTACCACTGTACTAGTACAGTTTAAGTACCCAGTCTTGTCCCTACATTCATATACTGTAGTTATTAGGTGGTTCTAATGGCACAGGAAAGGTCAAGGACATGTGGGTGCCTAAAGGGAAAACACGTATGTTTTAGCCTGCTAATACCTAGACTCAAACATACTCGAGTGCTGGATCTGCGTACCTAAGTTCCAAATACCTGCCGACGCGACATAGCACCCGACACGACTTTGCACCCCTTGCAAACAAACCCATCTATGAATAAAGGCCAGTTGGGCCAACCGTCTGCGTCCAAAACCTATATAGTGAAATTGGACAGTCGCATCATATTAAGAATCGTGTTATCATACAACAGACTACTGGTAAGTTAAAGCTTTTGCCTGATTAGGGCCCGTTTACCCACAAATGGCCGTCTACAGTAATAATAACTCAAATAAACAAGCCTTGTGCTAGGATGTTAGAGTTGCCTCTCCTGGTAAGGTCTAGCGTTTTTTGGATGAGTGTTTTTTTGGGGGTGTTTTACCGCTTTTCCGGAGGAGGAAATTCCGGACTACATAGCACAGGGATTGTTTATTCGAGCTATTAAGGTAGTGCACGTTGACGGCGCCCACCGTCAAGGGGGTCTTGACGGTCGGCATCAGGGGCTGAATTCTTATTCCATGTTTACCTAACATGCCGTCTAAGTTAGTACACCGTCTACCGCACCGTCCCAGCGCGAATCAGAGATTTTACATGATACGATGCGAGAGCTTTGAACTCTCAACTTCCTCTCCCTTTCCACCATTTCTGACCGGTTGGAATCTAGAACTCAACTGTCCTTTAAGCACTACCTACAATGGCTCCTCGCAAGCGAAAGACTCCTTCCGGCTCTTCTGGTAGCCCTTCTCTAATTGCTTCGACACTATAGCCCAAATCTGTCAAAGCGTCAACCCGAAAAAAAAAAAAGGATCGTGAAGGTGGTCGACAAGGGTGCAAGGAAAGCAGAGCTGATTGGCAGTTGTGGTATGGCAATTGTGGGCTTGACAGGTTCTAGGCATAGTGACGATATATCAATGCTTGAGGTTGACGGCATTGCTACCGCACTTCCGGAGCTGCATCTAGTTTTGACTGTCTAGCACTTCAATCCAACTTATTTATTTATCCTATCATAGAACCAAATCAGTATACGTCTAGCTACCCCGCAACTACCCATAAAACAAAGCACCATCAGGGGCAGCCCAGTCTCGCAACCACTCCACCCAAATATAAATCCATAATCCACTACCACGGGCTCACGGGCACTCATACTGACCAACGACATCCCGGATTATGGCGGCTTCCCGTCTGACAGCCCTCCGGTGCCCCACCACGGGAGCTCCTGGCTGGGGGATCTGCGTTCTACCCAATCTCTTCTGCACCGGTGCACGGTATGCACTGTCGCTGCCGTGCCTGCATTGGTTATCACGAGAGCGAGGGCGCATACTGAAAAAACCAGGATGGATATAGTTAGCAAAGAATATTTCCTACAGAATCAGGTTTGCCAATACTAATAGCTTTTAGTGTAAACGTAACACATTGCACCTCAAATGCAAAGCACACAAATGAGGATCGCTCTAAGGACTAGCACAAGAAATACCGACACTATTAGAAAGGCTCCCTGCTATGGAACTTTGGGACTCTGGGGACAGACCGGATGGGAGTGGAGGCATGTTTCCGATGGAGTCCTTCTTACAGGATCTTGTGATGAGGGAGAGATGTTTCGGGGCTTCGGAGGGGGTGGGGGGCAGGGATCTATCACAGTGGAGGGGGTCTGGAGGCGACTTGCTCAGTGTGGGTAGAGATAGGTGGTGAAAATATATTCCAAAGAGGGAGGATGTAGATGGATGAGTGGACAGGCGGGGATGGAGCTGAGAAGGGGACAGGGCCAAGTGATGAGATTAAGTATTGTATAATACCCCCTCCCACATTTCGCTGACCCTTAGTCTACCCGGATGTGGGACCCTCAGAGCGACCAGAAGTGACTGGAAAGCAAGCGGCGTTGCGTGGCTAACACACATTACAGTTCTTGCAAAATGCATAATCAGCGCTTTCAGACTACGTTCAATCTATATCAAAGGGATAGAGGAATGTGTTGAGTCCACGCAATAAGTTTTAGATATAATGCAACAAGGTACGGCTTCAACAGTGACTTTTTGATTTATATCATATAACAGAGAGTGATGACAGTAAGGGAGAAGAGACTGAGAGAAGTAGAAAAGAAAATGATTTTGGGAACGTCGATGGTTGCTAACGTACGGCACAGCCAAGCAGGACAGCGCACGGATGCGGGACGGCCAAACGTCTCATCCCCACGATAGTTAAAGGCATGCGAGTTGTTCACCCCTGATGCTATAAGAGTGAAATATATATGAAATAAAAGCTAGGGACTAGTAGAACATAAATACAAGCTTTATTGAGACATAAACAGGATTCAAGAACATTACATGCCAAAGGAGAGGCAGAAGATCAAGAAAAACATTCCATTAGATTTTAGCGCGGTGTGCGGTTCGCCCGAGTCATGTCAAAACCGCAAATCCTATCGGTTTCATTGTGAAAAAATTAGGTGGAGTCTGCGAGGGCAGTACCAGATGTGGGAAGAAACGGTAGAGTGTATTTTGATACAGGAAGCGTATTCGCATCCGTTGTTGAATCTGCTGGCGTGCCATTGCCTATCATGTGCCATATGAATGCAGAAGAAGAGTAAAGCTGGGGCCGATGAGATGCTGGTGAATGGGTTCACACCTAGAAAGTTCTTCAAAAGATCAAGCATTTCTTACAAGGACTAAAAACCCGTTACCACTATCTAATTAGTATTTAGCAATTCACCCGGGGTCCTTAGGCTGGACAATTCCCCCAGTTGAATAATTCACTCCCCGAAGTTCATTAGAACATGCTTCAGTGGAAACCTAACGACAAAAGAATGGTGCCATCTAGTGAAAGCAGGTGTGAGCGCTTTTAGGATCCAACAAGCCTCTTGATAAGTGGATTAGGCTTCACGGGCAAGGGGAAAGCTCAGTTGTTGGTACAGTACCAGGTTGCAATCGAAGAAATACGTACCGTGGCGCGGGAGAACCGGCGAGTTGGCTCTACTACTACCGAGACTTCATACCTGTGCTGTGCTGGTGCGGCGCCGCACGTTGAGCTGCTCTCCCTTCGAGCCCCCGGCTGAGGGAGATCTTTTAGATAGCGCCATGGCGGGGTCGTGAATTGGCCTATTGGATCATTGCTGTTGAAGTAGTGAGCAGGCTCATAGTCCAGCGACATCACATACCGGTAGTACTCGTGCTTGTTAAATACCGGTCTATCATCGTGCAAAGAACCTATGCATCTTTCACCCTACGAGGGGCATGGTAGGCTGCGGAACTTTCTCGAGAAACTCCTTTCCGCCACCTCCACATGTGAGTGCGGCACTATGCCGCACCGCACCGCATTGTACGAGCGCCCGCACATGGGCGATCACCACTGTTGGCTCATTGTACCGTATCCACGCGAACCAGTGATACCTGCGACTATCTGGTGCCAAGGACCCATGCTGTGTAGGCCTTAGTATTACCCGTAAAGTGTCCGGATACCAGCACTTAACTTATGGAACCGGCGAGTGCAAGGGTTAGGCATTTGGTTATGGTACTCGAGTGCACTCGCAGTGAGTGATAGGGATAGTTGACGTTCGTTTGGACAAACTGTTGGTATACCGACACAAGCTGTGCGGACCGGTATCGTACAAACAATAATTTACTGGTGATGTTTGTACTGTGCTGTACGAGGACTGGTGTGCCGTTGGGATCAAATCTGACCTCTCGGTTACGGTGCTGTGGTACCGGAAGTGCAGTACTCACGGAATGCCTGACCCTTGTACGGTACCCGTACCGTGCTGAGCTCGAGTTCCAACTTCGATAACCTGCCCGATCTCTGCATCGAATAAACATGGGGATCTCCGGAGGAAGCGAGATTCCTGAAACTTAGACTTTGGCACCCGCCCCTTGAAAGCCTAAAGCTCTAAATGAAATAAATGCACCAAATGGAGCCCGATAGTGGGACCAATTCTGACAATCGGGGTCAACAATCAAGCAAAGAAGCTCCAAACGGAGCACGGGTAAACTGGACGGCATGGTGTGTTGTTCCTCCAGCGGTAGCCCATGGGTGTGGGGTTTCTTTCGAATCTATACTCTATCTTCGGAGGAAAAAGCAAAAGCATGATTAAGCACTCGGGATTCAGGAACGCCTTTTGCTCCCCTCAGCCGTACTAACTAAAAGGGCCCCCGACCCCAATTTCCCATCTCCCTATCACCACGATATTCCGGGAACACCCCTATTTACTCCACCCTAGTTGTGCGAAATTTTTCTTCAACAATGGATCTCACACAGTATCTACCCGGAGGAGCAAGATGGGGCCAGGTGGATCATATTATGCAAACTACTCTCGTGACTAGAAACAGGGCTGTTGCTGCGTTAAAGGTAGGCTTACCGTTATTCGCTAGAGGGGAAATGACTGATGTGTGGGTGCTTACTTACAGGCGTGTCGAAACGACACTGAAGCGGCGATAAATATGCTCGGGACGGTATTCACTGGTATGCGTCCCCGTTTGGTTAATCCTGGGGTCTACAAATTAACAATTCCTGCAACCACCAGACACAAAGGTCAAACCTATGCCAAAAATGCCCGCTCCGAAGAAGAACCCAGCACGTCCTAAGCAAAATAGCAGCGACTCTCCAGAGCCTTTTGTGCCCACCATAGTTGATGATGGATTGCATACGGCCTCACCAGTTGACACAACATTTAACCGTCACCACACCGAGACTGACAGCCCCTCAGAATCCCCCGATAATAGTATCCGTCCTGATAGTAATAGTAATGGTGCTGGAGACAGTAACGGGGTCGAAAAGAGCAATGGGGCCGGAAAGGGTAGTAGTGGTGATCGTGAGTATTCCAATTGTCTTGCTTGGCCCACTTGGAAGTAACTTTGGTAAGCCAACCCCCCACCATACATGGCAGAGGATACGCGAGCAGACCCACCTTTAGCGAGCTCTGTTCAAGGTATGTTAAACCCCTGCCAACCTAAGCATTGAAGCTCGCTCCAAATTGACATACCAGGCACCGGAGACAGTCAAAGCGATCCCGTGGAACCAGACTGCCCGGAGTGGGATTTTAGTCTGCCGCCCGTCACCAGCGGTGTTGGGCAATTTCGACCGGAAGAGGGCATGACACTGAGCTTCTCGGTATCAAGGCTTGTCGTTGGTCTACAGCAAGGTATCGACGACGATAAGCTCGTTCAGTACTTTTCATATTATCGGCCGGAGACTATCGCGCGGAGCATCAACGGAACCGTATCGGGATACCCCGGAATTTTTTATGCAGTCGCCACCAATGATGAGAAATTAATAAGGACCTGGATAAAGCACGGAGGAGATGCTAATGCGGTGGAGAAGATACATGGATTTCCGCTTCTGGCGTTTACCATTTTAAACACGCTCAATATTCACAGAGACACTACGGCAATGACCACCACGCTGCTTAGTTTAGGCGCGGATGCTGGCGTTATTCCAAGGGTCTTCTTTATGCCATTTCTACAGGACCCACCGGTGGAAGGCCCAGACCCACGAGTGGTAACAGATATAAACGAGCCGAAGAAGGAATGGTGCAAACGGTACATCTGGCCATCGCTCGCTCGAGTAACCAATATTTCGCAAAGGTATTTTCTGGAGAAGACCATTAAGGGTAGGCCGGCATCCGCACGTCAAACCCAGGTAGCTCTGGCCCATAATGCAACGGAATTGTTGGGAATATCATACTTCATGATTGGACAGGCGACAGCTGCAAGCTCTGTTATTAAGAAGCTTCTCACGCATCTCGCTCTGCCGACTGGTAAACCGTTGGTGCTGGTCTTCGCCGGACCTAGTGGTCACGGTAAAACAGAATTGGCAAAGCGCCTTGGTCAACTCCTAACTCTTGAACTCGAATGCGTCGATTCTACAGAGATCAAATACGAGTCTGATCTATTCGGACCTAAGCAGCCATACTTGGGATATCAACAAGGCTCCCCGTTAAACAACTTCTTGACACGAATGAGCGGGAAACGGGCAATCGTCTTCCTGGACGAGTTTGAAAAGACCACGCGAGAAGTGCAGAATGCCTGCTTGATTCCTTTCGACGAAGGTGTGAATCTCCTCGCCCAACTGTGCCAGCACATAGCACATAACTAACCGGTCAAAAGGGAAGTACATCGACCGAAGAGACCGGGAAGCCGTGGACTGTTCAAAGACAATCTGGATCATAGCAACAAACGCGCTGGATCGGAAAATCGTCGATTTTTGTGAACGCAACCCGAATGTCTTCAAGAGCGATGATGCAGAGAAACACGTTCGACTGATGACCGAGTTGGAAAAGACCCTGAAGAAGCAATTAAAACATACTTTCGGAGTATTTCCCTCCTCTCCTCTTATGTACCACGTCGACGGACTAAACCCATACTAACTCTCCTCCGACAGAACCCCTTATCCGGCAGAATCTCAGCTGTCCTCCCTTTCCTCCCCTTCTCCCTCGGCGAACAAGCAGTGGTGACGCACAAATACATCCTCGAACTGAAAAATAAAGTCCTAGCGCCCGTGGACCTCTCCTCGGGAAAACTAGTCGGAAGAGTACTCTTGCACATCAAGAGTGACGGTGCCGTCTGCGAAACTGTAGCGACGGAAGGGTATGATCCGGACCAGGGCGCGCGTTCGCTGCAGACTGCGGTCAAGACACGTGTTGAGGAGGAGCTAGTGCACACATATTTAGAAGAAGACGAGGTTATTTCTGAGACCCAGGCTCTCGCGGATTACACAGTGGATATTCAGCGGGATGGGACGTTGTTGATATTTAAGTCTACAGGGGCGGAGAAGTCTTTCGCGGATTAGGCTTTTTGGAGTTTGTTTTTCTAGAAAGTTTTTGGTAGCTACGGTTAATTAATATAACACAAACTTGGGGTTTCCTGAGAATGCGCGGGATTACTGCTTTGAGCTGACTTGATCTCTATGTAGTATTGCAGATCACACTAATTTATGTTGGCTCACTCGATAGGGTTAGGGGAGTTGCCCGTCACTCTGGGAGCTTTGGAAACAATGCTTGTAACGATTTATAGCAGTAAATGGGTCACACAATCGGGGAGATATTGGGTTGATGAGATATGAGTGTATGCGGTTATGTTAGAGGAGGTGTACATCATGATTTGATGAGCCCGGCTTCCACCCTGGTGAATCTACTTCTTGTCATAATCCGCCACAACCTCTCCAACCACAGTTCCTAAATGACGATTTTAGCAAGTTCCTTAAAGCCGCTTGCATAAAAGCAATTTCAGACTCACCTTTGCAGACCACTTTGAATGAAATTGCCGCTTCAAAGCCCATTTCGAGAGCATACTCAACCTTGTAGTAAGACCCCGCAGGTCCCTGTACCGTTTCCCAGGTTTCCAGAGGAAAGGAGGTTAGGTCCACCTCGATACCAGCTAGAACAGAGCATTCTGTAACACGCGTTAGCCCCCTCGGAGAAGGAGGAGAAGGGGGGGCTCGGGAGCTGGTACGAGAGTCAATAAATTCCGGGGCATCCCCGCTACTGGTATACGTGATGAGCTCTTCCGTAAAGCGGAGTTGTGCGGTATCGGTGATCGCGCGGTAGAAAGAGAAGTTGACCACCTTCGAGCTAGAGAATTCGTCTCCCTGGTAGAGATTATTGGCAAAAAATTACTGCCCAGCGGATCAGGGGAAGCGCAAACTTACCCGTTTGACATACCAGTTCATCTTCTGTGCGCAGAAGAAGAGTTGTTCTGTATCGCTCCAAACCCTGTTGCAAACATCAGGGTTTCTGCACGGGTGGGGTGGAGTACGCGCCTGGGGGAATACTTATGCTTCGCGGCTTCGTTTGCAAAATCACCAACTTCGTGAATCTCGGGATCCCAGCCGTGTCTGTACTCAATCCCGTAGAAGTTTCTAATCTTGCGAGTGGTAACTATATCGCCTTGCAGTCCGCGTAACAACGCTCCCCTAACCACAGCAGACCACCTTCATCCATCCACGACGTTAGTAACTTAAGTCTCAAGTGACTTCCAGAAGTATGGAAACATGTACATACGCATTCACAGGTTGAATAACACCCGTTCCTTCCCACAACGGATTGCCTTCAATCTTCCTCCTCAGATATTCGCTGCTTCCAAAACCGCCGACAAGCAAGATCGCGGAAACCTTATTTTCGCCCGGCAGCTCGGAGACAGCTCCGATTTGCTCCGCTATGAGCATAACAATACGGTCAATGACCGGGTCGAACACCTCCTCCAGATCCTTTTGCCTGATAACCAGGCAGCCGTCCCGGACACCCGCTTCTTCACCGTCCGGAATACCGGCGGGCACTATGTTTGGTGTTAGTGCCGAGCAAATCCCTAAATATGGGGAGTTGATTAACCTTCGATAGTGTACTCCTTCTCGTCTTCGAGTCCATGACCAAAGTCCGTCTTAACCTCTTCGTTGAAAGCTCGGTGGATCTGGTAGGTTTAGGATATGGTTCTTTGGGGGATGGTAAACATACCTCCGCCATTCCTTCAACGTATGCTACCCTTGGAAGCTCATCCAAGTATTTCCCAATTTTCTTACTGACAAAGTCTTCAAATCTTCGGTTTAGGTACACAGATCCGCAGAGCCCCCCTGTGCCTAAGGTTGCCTCTTCAACCTTAAGGACCGGTTTAGTGTCTAAGACTCTATAGGTAATAAGATCCTAGGATCGACAGATAAGCCGCGATGCAAGGTAACGAAGACACCAATCGATCAAGTTCCACTTACCACAGTTCCCCCACCCGCGTCACAAGTCAAGAATATATCCCCCTCCTTAATTGAATATTCGGGTAACTAGACAATGTCCTATAAATTGTGCCATCCCACAAGCATACGCGGGAAGCTCGCTTACTGTAGTAAATGTGTATACCGCGGCAGCTTCGGGCTCTGTGATCAGTGAAACCTCGCCTGCAGAGCAGAACCCAGCATCAACAGCGCACTTCAAAGTGTCGCTCTTGGACTTATCCGACCATACAGCTGGCACAGTCAAGATGTACTCAATCGGTGTTTTATCGACAAATTCTGCCCTTCAATCAATCCACTAGCCTCTCCTATTGAGGATTCTTAGGTTTACCTTTAGTCCAATCAGCAGTCATACGATCAGCTGCTACTTCACAAATAGCCTTGAGAAATAAAGTGATTCCCTCGGTCAACGTCCTATCTGGTGGAAGACGGCCGATTCTTGCTGTGAATTTTGCTAGAGACTGGGCCGATTGAATCTGGGTAGGGTCTAGATACCTATCTCATTGTCAGTTATCGTACAGTTGGAAGAAGAGCATTTCAAGGGACAAAGACTTACAATTTTGAAAAGGATATTTTCTCGGGGTCGCTTTCCACCTGAAACCCCCATTTGAACCCACCGGGGGCTGAGGAGTCGAATTTGAACTCCCTGAAGCAATTAACTATGAGTTTCTTAGGGTGTGGGATTAACTTACGAAGGAACTTTCTGGGAGCTCTGGTTCCCCTGCCCAGGCCAGTGATCCTCGATGATTTCTACATCTACCTCAGAAGGCTCCTGAATATCAGTGTCTTCCGCTCCAATGCAGGGCCTGATTACAAACCTCCATGCCCGATTGGTAGTAGGCATATGCGACTCCTGAGTATGTTGTACCGAAGTCAATTGCACACTGTTTTTAGTTAGTACCAGGGGGGTAATCAATTGGGGACTCTGGGAAACCCCACGATGATCTTTCCCTTCGCCATACTTCTGGATCAGCGGAAATACCGTAGCAGAATAAATCCAACCTAAAAGACGAAGCGCACAACCCTGCCGGTACCGGTATTTATGTTGAACCATTCACTGTAGCACAAGATGCCACACTGCATCAAAAAAAAAAAGGCCCTCAGCCGCACGCGGAAAAAGCAAGTAACAACTCCTGGTTTCACTCACCCCCGTTCAACCTTAAGCTGCTCAGCTGCTCAGAGCTTCTTTCCCTCTTCCCATTCTAGCAATCACTCCACCAACCAATTTATCAACTATCAGCCAATCGATCCATTAGCTATGACGGATCCAGACCAGAGAATTCTTGTGAGTAGTAAAAAATAAAAATAAAAATCCCCGCCCCATGTGAGAGAATCAAGTTAATTTTATGAAAGGTTGGAATATCACTTGGTTCGGGCTCCGCTTCTGCCGCGTTTCTATTGTCGGGAAAGGTATCTTCCAGACACAAAGAACTACCGTACGAATATTGAACAGGGGCTGACGAGATAAGAATACAAACACCCAACCAACGGTGATAGTTGGTTATCCAGGAGCTGAAGATCCAAAATGTGCTCTCGTGCCGGTAAAATTTAGGCCAGCAATCGACGGCTTATCCGACTCATTATGGGGTTACCAACTCAAACCAGATGAAAAGTGCGAGCGGTTACTGAGTTTGTATGTTCCTTAAACTGAAGGGTTTAGATCTATTTTCTGATCCCATAGTTTAGGAAGGTAGCAAATAGTCTAGGATCAGCCACAGAACGGGATATCCTACATGGGCTGAGCGTTAAGAATGGAGGCTTTACCACCCACGGAAGCTGGAGTTTGGATAGGGAGATGGACCAGAAGAAGTTTGATGAAGATTATCTCCTAGGCTTTTTGAAAGCCATGAAAGCGCACATCATTAAGAAGGTTGCTTTGGCTTTTGGTGCCGGTATTTATCATCCTTCCTATCTTCAATATGTGGCTAACGCGCAATAGAGGCATCGCAAAAGATCCCCATGCAGTTAATCATAACAATACCTCCATGGTGGACAGACACCATTTCTTCGCCTTTCGAGGCCCTTATATCAACCCCTGAGAACCCCTCTACAAAACTGCTCTGCGAACCAGAAGCGTGTTTTGCCCATTATCTTTCTCGTACAAAGGGCGTAAAGATAGCCGATGGAGAGTTACTGACGGTATGCAATATGGAGGAGGAAATGATTAGTATTAGCCATTATTCAGTGGGTTCTGTAATGCCTGTGATGAAGCTGGTTCCAAAACGATGTGATGTTCTTTTGAGCGGCAGTAGTGATATTGGAATGAGGTTTGTCGAGTTGATGGAGAGGAGGTTGGAGGGCGCAATTAGGGAATTGGGAGTTGAAGCCGACGAAGTTATAGCTCAATTAGATAAGGTAGGGCAAACCATCCGGGTGAGCTTTCTCATGCTAACTGGTTTTTAGATGAAAGCCACTTTTATAGACAAGGTATTATCACTCCAGCCACAGATATGAGTCATAGCTAATCACTCACTAAGTTCCTCCCAAAATTTGATGGCAAGAAACCATACAAATTCCGGCGTAAGAACCGTGAACTTCCCCAACATTTCCCCTTATAAAGTGGTTAACGCTTTCAAGTGCCTTGGGCCAATACCCCCGACTCCCCGCCTCACATAGTGTCGTTGACGATGCACCTCACTGTTGATGACCTCGTATCACTATTCGAGCCAAGCTTTAAGAAGATATATGACTATCTCAAGCTTATGGTTGACACGACCAACAGGAAAATATCCATCCTATTTGCAGGGCCGCTCAGCGTGTGTCCATTTTTACAAAATTATATACAGAATCATATTAGCAGCAATAACGACAAAATGCAAATATTAAAGACAGCTGACGGGTATATATCCTCTTCCTTAGTTGCAAGTTAATACTAATTCAATACTCGGACAGACACACTTCAGGGGCCAGAGGAGCAGCACTAGCAGCGGATAATAATGTTAAAAAGCATATTATAAATGTTCGCGGCAAGACAAATGAAGTCAAGGCTTTTCGTTGGGCGGGTTCTCGTCTTGAGTTTCTACAAGAGTTGGAGGATAAACTCGGGATTCGTCGCCAAGCCTTGATAAGCGCGGTAAAGCCTTCTCGTGGAATTTCCAGGGAGTACATACGCTTAACCAAGGCCTATGAGAGACTGCTTATTGAGAGAATCCAACGGCAAGGCTATTCAGCACCCACGATAGCGGTTTTCGAGGCTATGGATGAGGTTCACTTGAGCATGAAGCGGAGTGATAAGAGCAGGGAACTACGAGCAAGATTTGAAGCCGGATATGTGGAAGAGAAGAAGGTGAGGATACGGGGACCGGGATTAAAAGCGAGTGAATTTGCGGTATTACTTGGAGATATAGAAGCCACCGAATTCTTAAATGGGGATCGACTGGCAGAGGCTCCTTCATCGAGTAGCTGTCCTCTAGTGGACCCTCCCGAGGCTCAAAACAATACCAATCAGCAATCCAGCTCACCATTCCCGAGGGCACCCCGAGCTCCACCCGCAGCCAGGCCCCCGGCATCCTCCACCCCGCCCGCACAACCCGCTCGTCCATCAATACTCCCTAGAACCCGGAGGGCTCCTGTGTTTTCAGTTCCACCAGTCTCGGCGCCGACACCAGCCCCAGCCCCAACTCCATCTCCATCAATTCCTGGAAGGGCCCCATTACCGCCACCAAATGGAAGGAGGAGGGGGCCTGTATTTGCAGTCCCAGAGATTCCTCCCACTCCAACTCCTACACCACCAGCAGTTAGTTTACCTCCTCCACCAATTCCACCAGATCCTCACGCAGCGAGGCCTCCAGTGCCCTCAGTGCCACCACTGAATTCAGGCAAAGCACCACCAACACGAAGAGGCCCCCCAGTTCATTCGGTGGCACCTATTACTCCCACACCTTCACCACCGGCTCCTCCAGTTCCAAGAGTGAGGGCTCCAGTATTTACGGTGCCGGTATTATCGTGCGGGCCGCCTCCTTTTGAACCCTCCCAGACCCCGATGCAGCCTCCTGTACGGGCAAGAACTCCCATACCACCGGCCGCGCCTACAGGTGCAGGGGTGCGTGTTCCAAGGTTTGCAGTACCCGCAACGATTCCAATGCCTGCGGGGGGGGCACCAATAGCACCGGCACCTCCTTTGTCAACGGGTCCACTATCATTGGGTGCTCGTGCTCCAGTATTCTCGGTCCCAGCAGCTGTGCCTGGTCCATTGCGAGATGGTCATCTCCCTCCGGCAGTTCCAGCACCCGCGGTGCCGCCTGTAGTTCTTACCGTGACACCGACTCCGACTGAGCCAACAGGTTCAGAAAGCTTAGATATAGAAGATTCGGGGGAACTCGATCCAGAAAAACAACATTCGGAAGAGGAAACAGTTTCTTCCCAATGCCAACCACTAATCCCTTCAGCGGGGCCGGTCCCAATAGCCAGAGGGGAGACGATTGCCAACTCCCCCGACGTATCCACCAGTCCCACACCCGCACCTGGTGCAGCTAGCCTTACAAATCCTGAGGTCAGATCTTTGTGTGCTGCAATTATGGCCGGTAACGCGGATATTGTCGACCAGCTCCTAGAATCGGGCACGCCTCCTGACTTACTCGTCCGAGGCTCCCTTCCCGGTTTACACCTCGCCGCATCGCTCGGCCATAGTGAGATCGTAATGATATATCTAGGCGCCGGAGTAGATTCTAGCTCTACTGATGCTGCTGGCAACAGCCCCCTACATCTCGCGGCAAAAAAGGGACACACTGTTGTCGTTGAAATATTATTACAAAGTGGAGCAGAGATGGAAGCTGTTAACATGGCCGGGAATTCGAGTTTGCACGAGGCAGCAGTAGCCTCGCAGGCAGAGGTAGTGCGGCTATTGCTAGAAAAGGGTGCAAAGTTTGATAGGAAAAACCATGAGGGTAGAACAGCTTTCTTAGATACTGCAGCAACAGGATGTAGCGAGATTTTAATGTTGCTGATTGACGCGGGAGCGAATGTCAACACCTCTGACGCAGCGGGTAATTCCGCACTTCATCTCGCGGCTGCTGTTAGTGATGAGGAGCTGCTTTTGATGCTGCTCGATCTCCGTTTGGACCCCGCGGCCAAGAATTCGCAGGGAAAGATCCCATTACATTACGCCGCCTCCGGTAAAAACGAGCCAGCAACCAGGGTTTTACTTGAGATATATCTCGAAGAGGCACCGGCAACCATTAGCTTTCCGGAGCTTCCCCAAAAGAAGCGTCTACTATTTGAAAACTGGTGCGCGAATGAAGCGAAGGCCGCCTTGTTTTATTCACTTAAACCATCCCCGCATCAATCGATCGATACTTTAAAAACGGCTCTTCGATGGACAGAATATAAAAACAATCGGATGATTGCTTCCTTAATAGTTGGTAACATCTTTCAACTTACACCCAATGACCCAGACCCTACATATGTCCTTTCTGAGTTGCTGCATTGGGCGGCAGAAGAGGGTCTTGAGCTGGTTCTCAAAGCACTGTTGGAGCGGGGGGAACCAAAAATCGACAAGTTTGGCTCAACACTTCTGCATAAAGCTTCATTCGCCGGTCACGCAGCAATTGTAAGCTTCCTTTTGGGAAAGTTCACAGATCCCCAAGTTCGATCAGCAGCTCTCTTCATCGCCTCCTGGAGAGGACATGAACCTATCGTAAACCAGCTCCTAGACATAGGCGTTGACGTCGATTCTAAGAATGAGGATGGACAAACAGCTCTCCATTGGGCTGTGATCGCAAGTGACATAAAAACCGCGTTGCAAACCCTCGACGCACCAGGAACGCGCAAGCGGCCAAAGAACAGGAGAGTCAACGTCGGTATGATTAAGCTTTTGATAGACCGAGGGGCAAAGGTCAATGAACGGAATGGTGTTGAGCAAACACCTTTGCATTGGGCGGTTGTCAGAGGAGACCTTAAGGCTATCGATCTGCTTCTAGAGAATGGAGCAGATCTGAAAGCTAAGGATGACGAAGGGGCAGATGTGATTGAGTGGGCCGCCAATTATAGCGAGACGGATGAGGTTTACAGGCTTATTAAGAGCTGGGAGCAGAGGTAGTTCCCAAATAGGGATTGTATTGGGTTAATTGTATGATGATTTTTGGGCTAATTTGGAGATCGGATAGCTTGTGCTTTGACGGAAGGTTGGCGACCAGTTACTGTCATTGTACGTGATCTTTTCATGTGGGAAAAATTCAATTTGTATTCATGCTTTACCGAGTAGGCACAAATCCTCGGAGAGCTGTTATTGGATAGATTTGGACTTGTCGGGGCGGCGAGCTCTCTAACGGTTTGGTTCAATAATCGCAAAGATGCTGAGAAAGGCCTCCCGCAAATCAGTTCCTCTCACTGCCCATCCTCGAGTTTGGGTCCGAAGTTTACGTTGGCCTTCGGGATAATGGGCGATATTATTGATTGATGGGTTAACTTCACCAACTCAGAAAGCATGGACTCCTGTGAGGCAGAATTCTAAAGGGTAGACTACAGTACCGTAGAAATTCAAATAATCGAACCTGTGCTATGCAGTCAAGAATTCCCTACTTTGGAAAAGGGGCGAGAAACTTAAGAAATAATAATAATACCAGACCTTACCAGAGGAGGCAACTCCAACAACTAGCACACGGCGCTACCCGAGTATTTATTCGAGTTTCTACGGTATTTAATGCGTTCAATTCCGATGAACCAAGTTGATATGCGTGGTTCAGCTTACCTGGGTATGGATGCTAAACCTAGTCCCGGGCAGACCCCCATCATCTCGCCCACCAACATAATACGGTAATATCATGCCGTGGAGGCTTGAATAATCGAACCAAGTGCTATGTTGTCAGAGCCGCCTCCTCTCGTATTGTAAGGTCGGGTAGTTCTTTTATTTTCTAGTATCTCTCAGAGAGCCAGCAGCTTCTGTACGCCACAATTTTTTGCCCCTTTTCCAAAGTACCGGTATGGAATCCTCGACTGCACAACACACGGTTCGATTACTCGAACCTCCCCCGGCAGGGGATTGCCTCCCCCACCAAAAATAACATTAGCAAATCCGTTCCTGGCACCTTGTGTACCGGTATTGTCGTACAATACACAAGCCATGCCGCTCTTTATAAAAACCTTCACAAGCAATTCCAAGGGACCAAGCCAGCCTGCAATGGTTGCCAACATCCCATCTTACCACCCTGTATGTCTCCCCTTAACCCCCCCCCCCCATCCGCACCCTCCCTAAGTCCAGTCACCTCCCCCTCTAGTCTCAAAATGTTCCTCATACCGCTGCTACTCCTCCTGACCCCGACCATCCTAGCACAAACCACATCCTCGAAGCGCGGCCTTGTGCATATCCCCTCAAGCGATCACCCCGAGGATGACAGCATATGGATAACCCCACCTACCACCCTAACATGGTATTATAACTATGGCTCCCATCCCGCATCGTCACTCTCTTCGAGCAACCTCTCGTTCGTGCCGATGCTGTGGGGAGACCAGAACAATACTTTTGTTGACGACGTCCGCGGACAGAAGGACGTGAAGTGGATTCTCGGCTTCAATGAGCCGGATATGGGGAGCAATGTGGGCGGGAGCAACATCAGGCCGGGGAGAGCAGCGGAATTGTGGAAGAGGGATATAGAGCCCTTGAAAGGGGATGGGAAGGAATTGGGGGCTCCTAGCGTTAGTGGAAGTCCGGACGGGATGAGGTGGTTGAAAGAGTTTGTCCCTCTCTAACCCGCATTAGATGGACTGGCAGCTAATTAGGGATGGGAGGGCGATTAAAGATTTTTCAAAGAATGCCGTGGATGCTCAGTGGATTTCATCCCGATACACTGGTACGGGAATTTCGAGGGGCTCGCATCTCACGTTGGTGAAGTTCGCGCAGCATTCCCGAACAAGACAATATGGGTTACCGAGTTTGGGTGGGCGGATCAACCACTGTTTGTGCCCTTCCTCCTTCCCCTGCCCGAGCCACCCGATCACAATTAATTGTTCTCGTGATAGTGCCCCTACTCAGAATTTCTTCAACACTTCCCTCGAGTATCTTGATCGCCTAGACTACGTTACTCACTACAGCTGGTTCGGAAGCTTCAGGAGTGATGTTAGTAATGTAGGGCCTAACGGGGCGATGCTTAATAGCGACGGGGAGCTTACGGATATTGGGGCTTGGTACCTGGGGCGCCAGGGAGAGGGGATAAAACCCGACAGTAATTCTGCGGCGAGGAACGGAAGGGGAGATTGGGCGCTCTGGGTGGCGGTTTACTTCATAATCGCTGTTTGGGCTCTTTAGACGGAATAGTTCGCATTAGTCTATATATAACGCTACTAGAAGAATAACAACTAATTCAGCGGAGAGGCGAGGATGTTTGGGTTGCCAGTTGGTGGAAAAAACGGGTGATTCCAACTGATCCCGAATTTGTGAATATCATGACAATCAGGTTAAGAGTAGAGATACCCCGCCATGCAGGGCTCTTGCCAAGTGCGCGTACGAGTAATGCCATAGCAGCTTTGTCCAGCTAGTATCCTGAATCCAAGACTCGCCGAATTATCGTTATTTTTTTACCCGAATGTCGCTTCATAGGCCTCCACCGGAGGATCCTACCGATTAAATAGTCTAACTACCATATCTCACCCGGATACAAGTAGCGTTTACCATACCCATTGCTCCCCCGTGGCTACGAACGAACATGACTTAGCTTCTAAGTAGAGACAATTTTGAGACTTCAATGGTTTACTTTCTCAGACAATAGCCACAAACAATTCATACCTGTCATAATAGTAGTTGAAAATACCCATACACCTATCTCAAATCAGACAAAAACAACAAAACAAGGACAGGAAAAAAGAAAAAAATACCAGGCTACCCTTTGAATTCAGAAGGTACCATACTCGGGTATTAGCTTGAATAAGAGGAACATGCCTCAAGACATCAGACTTTCCCATTTAGTCGGGAACCAGAGAAAATACCAGCAAAATAAAACCAAGCGTTACGGAGAGGGGAAATCTAGACATCGTGCGGGGTGTCTCTCTTATTCAAGTTAATAGGGCAAGCAGTTGTAAAGTAGTGGCAGGACGCGAAGAGAGCCCACGCCCACTTCTCCATTAATTCTCCGTGTCTCAACTATCTTAAGCCCCATGTCCCGTGTATCGTGTCTAGACTTTCTTATGGGTGTGTACGAGTACAGTACTAACGGCACTTCACTGACACGGCTATGGTACAAGTACAGTGCAGTAGAATTCTTACATTTTCGGTATCATAGTTACTTGGCGAAGCGTATCGTGACCTAGCTCAGCATCAAGGAAAAAAAAAAGAAAAAAAAAGCCTTAACCCATAAGTTAACACATGATCGCGTTTTCCAACCATGACCAATTTCCAATCCACCAACCAAAATGTCCCATCTCAGATATATCATATCCCAATTGGAGAAAACAAACGCGGTAAATATCTTTCCGCCCCCTCAAAAAGAGAAAAAGAAGAAAAGAGAAAAAAAGGGCCGGATTCTAGCGGTTGCACGGAGCGCAGCACTTCTGTTGTCATTGAAAATTGCCATGCTATTTATTATCCTACGGTACTCAACTGCCAAAAAAGTATCATACAGCACGATACCTACCGGCAGGTCTACTCCCAGAGTAAGCGATGGAGATTAGGTGCCAGGTGCCGGAGATCGTGGGTGGGGTTCAAAAATTCACTGGAGAGTGCTTGGGATCAACGAACCATGATATATACCATCCAATCATTTTTTCCCAAAGTAGATCTTGCTTGTTTGTTTTTTTGGTTTAATCATCGCAGGAATTATATCATTGGACTCCCAGAGGGTTTTTGCTTTAAATTGTTGGTGGGAAGGGATATTTTCAAATAAAAGCGCCGTAGTAAAGTTTTCCCGCAGTGTGGTATTCACGCCTCACACCCTTCTGCTGTGCCTTGTGCTCAAGTTCCTTTGCGGGATCATAGCCACTGTTCGGTCCTATATATCCCTGAACTCACAGATTATCACTTGAGGTCTCGATTTTCAGCCTGGCTATGATAGACACAAAATTTGGCGGGTTGCAGCCATATAGATAAAGCTCCCATATTCTCCATAGCCCTGCTAGTCCTCTCTTTCTATTAGCAAAACAATTTGCGATAAGAGTTGATATTGTCCCTAGAGGCATATCCGAAGATAGCCAACAGAAAGGGTCCTGCCGTTCTACCGCCGTCAATAGCTACTGTATAAGGCACGAGGAAGGGCATGAGAACTTTGCCGACGTGTCTGTACCAGTACTATACAGGGCCAAAGTAATTGAGGTACCAGTACTTAGCCTGAATATCTGAAATTCCAGCACTCATTGTTTCACTCTCCATAATCGCTGATGAACTCGAGCCGAGCCCTTGCACAAGCCAGGAAACATCATACTAAGGGGCTGTCTGGCTCCACGCCCTTCGAAATGACTGCCATCTCGAACGGCCCGGAGCCAAACAGCGCCCAAGTTGTGGCACACACGGGTGGACCAGAGAATGGCCTACGAGCAAAGCGTCGAGAAAGCTCTCCAGATAACGGGGAGTTTTTCTCGAGGCCTTGCTCCGAGCGAGTGCGACCGCTCTTCCATACTCTCCAATACCTATTCCCTCCGTCCCCAGTGTAGACATGTGAGGCAGATTCGGAGTATCTCTTACGTTCATGGACTTCGATGGCAGCAGAAGGAAAATTGAGGATTCCAGGCCCCCCTCATTTCTGGTTCTTTCGATTCGGCCCCTAAGCAGCACATTACCGCACTTGATAGGACTTTGCCATTCTGCAACATTCTTCCAGCACTCGGGTTTTAGTTTTTTCCACCAACAACGATAAATACACTATGGTCTCAAAGCCCCATGATTGGTCGAGGAATCAAACTACGGGCATTCCTCTCGATAATCGTGTCAAGCACATCATGACCCCCAATAAACCGGAAAGGAAAAAAGAAGGGAAAAGGCTCCCAGAAATTCATATTCGAGCTACCAAAACTCATTCGCCAAGCGCTGACACGGCTAGCGACTCAAGTCCTACATCCGTAACGCCAACCCTGCTGACAGTTCACGGAAACAAAAAAGACCGAGTTAAAACACCTTCTGATACATCCATTCGGAGAACCCTTAGATCATTGGCTGGAAGCCTCACCTGCACCTCCCATTTGCTCTCACCAACAACAGCTGCTGCAGCTGCTGCAACAACGGAAATCCTAACCTCCGATGCGCCACCGTCAGTGCCCAACAGTCGAGAAAGGACAACCAGAGATGCAGCCAGGCGAGTGATCCCGCATGACACTCCCAGCTGAAAAGAAAAGAAAGGAAAGGAAAGGAAAGGAAAAGCACCCTCAGGCAAAAGATCCTCAGCTGCTGCTATCGCAGTGCTGTCGAATTGCCCCCGCTTTACACCCTGGAATAAATACCGGCACGGGAGAGTTCCCCATCGAGAAAACGTCAAAAATAGCGATCAATCGATAGGCCTGATTCTCGAAGGACATTGAGAATCAATTCTTCAGCCTACGAGACACGGTTTTGCTCCTTTTTTTTCTCCCGCCGGAAGGAGAATGCAAACTCATGGGAACTCCCGTTCCGCGCGTCCCCACACCACCTACCGTACAAGTGCTCCCCAATATGCTGGATGATCCTAGTGGTAACCCTAACCCTCCCTGCACGAGTGACGATTGATGAAAGTATCATAACAAAAAAAAAAAAAAGGTGAGAAAACGAGGCGAGTAAGTAAGTGAAGTGACCGATCAACAGTTGGTGAACAATTCCCCGGGATGGCGCCGCTTGTTGTGTGTGTGGTTGAGTCATTTACGATAGGCTGCCCACGATTATGTATCCCGCGAAAGAGAGAGGGAAGGAGGGAGGGAGGGAGCAGGGAGATAGAGAGGCTTTCCAAAAAGCCGAACCCGGAGACAACGTGGCAAAGGTGGTGGTGGCCTTATTCGCGGTCAATTGGACCCTGGCTAAGGCGGTGGGGTAACGGAATGGTGCGATAACAGCATCATCGGGTCAAGGCCTGATTTACTGAGTAGGGGTGGGGAAATGGAGAGGGGACGCGAGGCTGGACGGAGGGGTCTGTGAGGGAGAATACGGGGAGTACTGTATGGTTACTGTAGTGCACTCAAGTGCTCTTTTTAGCGTCTGGCACTTGACCCCAGTTATTGAAAAGTTCACAGCAGGCCATGCTATACCATGCCTCCCCCTCCTTTACTAATTTGATCTTTACGAGTAATCCGACCGTACAGCACTCGTATTCTACGGAAGAGGGTGGAGAGTAAATGAGGCGAGCCCGAGTTCGATTAGCCAAAATCTGCTGAGCGCAACCGTGGAAAGAACTAATCCTGGCGGCTTTTTTGAAGCGGGGGGGAAAAGCCGGGCGAACGCAAAAAATTCCAACCACAAAATCTTTCACGATGTTCTACTCTCTCGCTGGCCGAGAGAGACCTGGAAGCCAATGAGATCAAGTTCGCATCACTTACCCTTATCACCCCGTAGTTTGCGCTGCGCTTATAGCTCGAAGTTGGCATAGTCTACACCTTAGGCTGAGTCGAGTCGAGTCGGTTGCCGTCTGCCGTACTCGAGTGCAGTAACTGAAGGGTAGTACGGTAAGGGACATCTGTACCCGGAACAGGCGGACGATCATTCAGGCTCAGCAGTAGCATGTTAATTTCCAAACGTCGCCACATGACAGGTAGATCCCTTGGCAAATACTGTATTAACCGTTTTTCTAAGGAAATTAACAGTAATTAACATGTCCAAGACATTCCCCTTGCTCCTACCACAAGTTCGGCTTACTTTCAAGCCCCAATATCTCTGTGAAAACTTGAGAACTTCCTATCCCCTCTCCACTAATGTGTAGAGAGCCATCCACTATATTATCTAACATAGCTGTAATTCCCACCAGAGCAGTTGTCGAAAATGCTTTAGGAGTTGAAGTTGAGAAATGTTTTCTCGGCAAGGTACTCCGGCTACAGACGTCCCTCACCGGGGCTACTTATACGAGTACGGTAGTACGGCTTAGTTCTGTTGGGGTTTGGTTACCGGTACAGTGTAGTCAGATGATTGCTGCAACTTGCGGCTCAATTGGACCCTTGTATGACAGATCACTTGCAGGTAAAATCCAACCAAACGTTGGCACATAACCTACGTGTACCTGCGTGTAGACCGACCAGAAAGAAACGAAAGGGGGCAAAGGAGAATAACCTTATACTGCTGCCGTAATAATCTTCTTGACTTGTCGGCTCGCCAGCGACTTAGATTCGACCACATCGCATATCCCACAGAGAGACCTTGAGAGAAAAGAAAAACAAAAAACAAAGTGCACCGTACGGTACTGCACGTCTCTTGGGCAAAGCGGTATTCTGGGGAAAAATAGAAACTTATTGCTTCTCTCTTCCTTGACCGATTTTTCGTCCCGTCTTGCAGGAGTGGGTTGTGTTGTTCGGCCAGTTAGCGTTAGTCCATACCTCGTTTCTCCGTGTGAAGTGAGGCGAGGGGACAGATGGAGGGAGGGCGAGAGGGAGGGGACGGGGGCACAACGTCTGTCGTGCGTTTTATACCAGTGTGTAAATTGTATAGACAACCGCAGTACTCGAGTAGAGAACCGTACCTGGCCTATTGGGGAGAAAACTGTCCTCCCCCGCTTCCTATTCGTTTTGATAGGAGGTGGGAACATCCTCGAAGCAGCAGTGGCGGAGCATCGACCTCATTGATTCCACACGATCTACTCGAGTAGTAGAGTATATCGCCCCGTTGGACGTGCGGTGTAGAGCGAGGCGAATGCTGAAGCTGTTATCTTTCTTTCATGTCTGAGCGAACCCAACCTTATTGGCTTTGCTCGTTCATTGGAGAAACTTGACAGCCCGTTGAATCCATAGATTCCTATCGTGGGGCCATCGTTACCCATTTTGATGAACACATGAAGAGTAATGACTGTATCATGTGCTAGCTAGATAAATAAAACCATATTTCTCTCATTCTTTCTTTCGTCCTCTCCCTCTCCTCCCCCCGGCCCCCCCGGAATACTTTCGTCCTCTCGTTGGCAATTTAGTCGCTACCTAGCAAGCGAACAGAGTGGTCCTGGAGACGCTCGATATACTTCCTTGCGCCGACATACTTTCGCTACCTTCTCTTCTTTTTTTCCCCTCTTTTCTTTTATTACCCATTAGTACTTTCTGCTGAACTGTCCAAGTTCTTTCCCGAGCAGGGTATGCTTTCCGGTAACCCCACTTGGTTGCGGGGAATTGGGCTAAATTGGAAGTAGCACTCGATTATTAAAACCTTTGTTTTTTTCCCTCTGGCAAGGCTGGACTTTGGAAGTTGTTAATCATGGTGGTACGATTTTCCATTTTCCTCCGAGTCAAGATTGTAATGCTAAAACCCGAAATAGGTGGAAGATGATGCAGCCACGCGTATGCACAAGGTATGTTTCAAGCGCCCGAATACTCTCGGGAGATCATTTCCTAGGGAATGGTTCAATGGTTAACGTATCAATCGTTTCCTCTTCCCAACAATTAGCAACTTGGGTACGTACCCAAATCCCCACAATGAATAGTTCGCAAGCTCACCAAAGCGTCTCTCCAGCTACTACCTCTACATCTTCCCCGCCCTCCTCCTCGCAGCGGGCATCATCCGCTCTCTCTACTACTCCATGCGGAACGCCCGCATGAACTACGCCATAGACTCCGAATCCCAGAATCCCGTAGCATGGCGCACTTATCCCCCCAGCGCGCTATCTAACTGGTTCAAGCGCACAATCCAATACCCGGCACTCTTCCGTGGTCGACACCGAAAGCCCATAGGCTGGTACACCTTCCCGACGCGCATAGAGACAATCCTGGTGGCGGTGTACTGGCTACTGAACATCATCTTCCTCGTCGTGAATCGAAACCAGAAGGGCCTCGGTGGAAAGAGTATCGACTCAGTGAAGTTCATTGGGGACCGGGCGGGGACGCTAGCGTTGTGGAATTTACCAGTGTTCTTCTTGCTCGCGGGTAGAAATGATTTTCTGGTTTGGCTGACGGGGTGGAGTTACTCTATGTTCCACGTGTTTCACAAGTGGATCGCGAGGTGCGCAGTGTTGATGGCCGTGGTGCATTCTTTGGCATATGCGATTTATATGTATCAAAGTTGGTATTCCCAGACTTGGATACACACAGCCTTTCTCCCCGAGAGCGGAGGGAGTAGTAGAGTTAAGCTAATGGGGAAATAGTTGGACCCGAAAAACGAGGCTGGAACAGAACCTATTGGTTGAACGGCATCGCTGTGGGTTTTACCCTGACCCACAAAAGCCATGCGAGACTGTCGTGATTGCTAAGAGAATCTTAGGCAACGACGACGATGGGAGTAATCCTCGTCCTATCGCTATTCCCCTTCCGCAAGAAGGCGTACGAGTTCTTCCTCTTCTGCCATATCGTATGCGCAGTCCTGTTCCTAGTCTTCCTATTCCAGTATGCCCCCACTCTTTCCCTATATTCTTGACCATGTAGCTGATGATTTTGGACAAAAGCCACCTGAAACTCTCCAAGACAAACTCCTACGACGGCTGGATCTGGGCTTGCGTATCAATGTGGGCCTTCGACCGCTTCGCCCGCCTCCTCCGAGTGATTATCCTAAACGCCCGAGCCTTCTCCTCCGACCCGGAGAACCACCACCTCGCGCGGGCGAAATTCGTAAAGGGAACTGACATCATTCAATTAACCGTGTACCCGTCCGCGGAGGACGTGGGCTACTTCCCCGGGGCCCACTTTTTCGTCTTTCTGACGGGGAGTTGGAGATTCTGGGAATGCCACCCATTTACCGCTGCGGATTGGAGGCCTTCAGGGCCGACGCTCACTGGGATGCCGCAGAGGACGCCGTCAGGCGCGAGGTCACTGTCGGAGTCCCTGATGGATTCTCTAAACGGGTCCTTGAGTAAGGAGATCGGCGCTAGAAGAGGAACGCGGAGGAGCGGTGCGGTGCTTGGGAGGAGTGGAAGTGGTAGGAGTATGAATGGGAGGAATGGCGGTAGTGGCGTCAACAGAAGCGGAGTGATGCGTAGTGGGAGCGGCAGAAGTGGAGTGACGCGAAGTGGGAGCGGCAGAAGTGGAGTGACGCGAAGTGGGAGCGGTAGAAGCGGCCGAAGTGGCCGAAGCGGTATTGCAAGAAGTGGTAGCGGAAGGAGCAAGAACAGCAGAAGCGAAAGGGAAAGAAGTAGAAGTGAAAGGGACAGGAGCAGAGGAGGCTCAAGAGATAGGACAAGACTCCGAGGCGGAGAATTAGACCCCGATGACCTCCCCGGAGGGGACCTCGGACTTCGGGGCGGCGGTCTAGACATCGAGGACGCCGAAGCAATCCTCGGCCTCCGCGGCGGTGACCTTCAAAGGCAAAAGTCAAGAAACATCTATATCGTCAAGCAGAACGGGAATCAGGGGAGTATATTCGTCGTGTCCGACACCGGAAAAGGTCGTCCCATCTTCGATGCTCAAGGTGCGGGTGGCATCGAGAGGATTGGCACGCCAAGAGGCGGTCTAGAACGTAGCAAATCCGAAACAACCCGCAAAGAACTGGCGAAAGCAAAAATCGCAAAAGCCCAAGAAGTAGCACGAGCGAAAGACGCCGCAGCAAAAGCCAAAGAAGCGATAAGAATCTACGAATTAACGAAAGCGAAAGAATTAGCAAAGGCCAAAGCCGAGCTTGCAAAATTCAGAAAAGCAGTAACCCCACCAGTCGAGAACCCAGACAGCGAGAAACCTGCTTCTCCTGAAGCCGGTAGCAAGAGCGAAGGACCTCCCAAACAACCTCCCCTCAATAAAGAAAAAGAACCAGTACGGGCCATAAAAGCTGCCGCACCAAGACCCGAACCATCCAAAAGAAAGCCGAAACGCACCCACTCCAAGACAGAAACCAAGGAAGAGCGTGCAGCGGCGCGCGAGAAACGCGCGGAAAAGCGACGCAAGCGCGTCGTGGAGAAGGATGAAGAGCCCGAAGCTGAGCCGGAAACCAACACAGAAGATATCAACGCCGGCGCGGTGGAGAAGTACGTTCCCGATCTCCGCGGCATAAACGAAGGCGAAGACGATGACGACCTGGATCCGGAGAAACTGGCCTTAGAGCTCGCTCTCGGAAACGACCTAGATGATGACGAAGATGAAGATGAAGGCATGTGCATAGAAAAAGAGCTAGAAATGCTGAAACAGCGCCAACGCGAAGAGGCGGAAAACCGCCGTCGGGCAATAGAGCTCGAGGAAGAACAAGGCGACCTCTCCCAGATCCTCCTCAACACGCGCACCGCGGGCTCCGTGAACCGTCCACCAGGGCACGCCCGCGGTGTGCCGCGGCCAAAGCTAACATTCCTGATAAAGCCGAGAAAAGGAATGACGGCCACGCTGGCGGGCATGATCCGCGAGAATGACGAAGAACAAAGGCGCCGGGGCATCACGAGGATTAAAGAGTTGGAGATTAAGTGCCTCATTGAGGGCGCGTATGGGATTAATCGACCCATGCACCTGTTCGAGACCGCAATCGTGATTGCCGGTGGCGTCGGGGTGACTACCATACTCCCGTATTTGGCGGACTTTGTCGACCGCTCACACGGTGCTAGTCCAGACAACCGTACGCTCACGCGCCGGTTTGTCTTCGTGTGGACCGCGCGCGAAGAGGAGCTTGTCGAGAATGTTGTTGTCAAGAGATTTCCCAAGGGCGTGCTTAATCGAGAGGATGTGAGTTTGCAGCTATACGTTACGAAGAAGAAGGCCGAGGGGGAGAAGAAGTTGCCTGGTGTGCGCTATCGCAGGCCGAATATTCCAGAGATTCTGGCGGCAGAGAGAAGGAGGTTGGTGGGGAGGATGGCGGTGCTCTCGTGCGGGCCTTCGGTGCTCGTCGATATTACCAGGAATGCGGTTGTGGAGTGCTTGACACAGGAGAGGAAGCATGTGCAGTATTTCGAGGAGAGTTATGGATGGTAGAAGGGAAATTCTTGTTTGTCTGGTGTAAGATATTGGTGCGTCATGGGGGGCTCTGAGTGACGGTTTGTGATTGTGCATATATCTTTTCCTTGTTCCGACTTATGCCATCGTCTCTTTCCTTCTTTATATAACCCGTAGCCCTTTGGGGAATCTTTTAAACAATAATGAATGGATGAAGATATAACTTTCGAAATGATATTCCCCTGCTAGTGATACTGAGCGGAGCTAAACTCTTTGCAATGCACCCCTCTACCGAGCTCGCCTGTAGCGCCTCCAAGGAAAGGAGGGGCTATGAAAATGTGTGCGGGGGGGGGGCATGCGTAATGTGAGTAAACCTATTGTCCCCTAAAGCCTTCATTAATCTAACTTCCAGTACCCAAGAGATATCATTTAAGTTACCAGGTCCCAAAAACCACCCAACTCCAACAGGGCCAAACGCAAATTGCCCTGCATACCGTACCCCAAACCCTCCACCAACATAGGGAAGCGCTAAATACCCATTTAGTAGCCCAAATCCAGAAATTCAGCCCTAGCGGAAACCAAAACCCGAGTGACCCATCGTGACCCAAACTGAAATCAGGGTCCTTAATCTCTAAGCAAGCCTAACCCTACCAAAAGGGCCCATGGAGGAGGTTCTCATCGCCCAACTTAGAAATTCATGGCCGGCTGGTAAAATAACACTTCTGGGATACAGTGCCCGACCATCTCCGGACCACACCCTCTAAGAACCGAAACCGGAGCGTTTTGGTACGCCCCGGCGATAGCCCCTATATTCCCATGCTAGATATCCGAACCCACGAATACCCTGGGGAGTTCCTCGTTTTCCGAGCCCAGGGTACATCACGAAGGGGTAACCTGTGAGCTCTCGAGGCCGCTGAGATCGCCTAGATGAGATTGACGGAGTCCAGGCCGTCAAAAGTGTTAGACACATCCACGTCTTCTGCTCCGCTCTCGGGCACATGCCGTCTTTCGGGCTCAGTTGAAGAATTCCCGTATAGACTAAGGCAGCCCAACGGGATCGCTGGTATATCGAACACTGCCGAGGAATGAGGTCAACGCACTCGCTTCCGCCAAAGTTGCCCCGCCGGACATCTGCCCCAGCTCGATGCTGTTCGTATCGCATAGATCCACCTCAAGCCATCACCTCCCACATCTCCACCCTATCCCACCCTGTCCGGCAACCTCGCCCAAATATCGCCCTCCACTCACCACACCATTCCCTTCCATCGCCAATCCCTTTCCGTGGAGAGCAAAAGATGCCCAGCACAAGATTCCGTGGCGGCCAGTTTATACTCCTCACCGCACCCAATGGATCCGAGTAAGTTTGATGTGGTATGATAGTGGAAAAGAAAAATAATAATACAGAGTCACGTGAATCCCCTGGCTTGAGTAACTCAGCTTTTCAAGTTTTTAAACAAGGTTAGGTTGGTGTTGGTTGGTTGTATCATAGAGAAGCAATAATATCAAGTTAACTCCGATAAGGATGGAGAGAAAACACAATAACGCCGACACAACATGAGTCAATACACGAACGAATAAAAACTAAAAAACAAACAAAACAAAGGGATATTAGAACCCCCTACTGCGCCCGGGAGGAAAAAAATCATTACATTACAAATTGACAAAGTAATGAATGTAGGAAGGAGAAGAGGAAAGAAGGAAATTAACGAGCATTACAGCTCAATATCTAGACCCTCGAACCACTGGATTTCTGCTTCCATCCCAGAGAAATCTCGGGACGCTCTCATGCATTGCCGTCAATTGCCACCACCCGCCGCAAACGTATGCCGCTCCCGATCCTGCGCCAGAAAGGAAGGTATCCTAACATTATGCTTGCTTAACCAGCGCATCGCAGGGATCTCTCTCCAGAATATCGCTCACTGCACACGCAGCACTTGAGTTTGAAAAAGGATCTCGCCCCACCGCCACCCACCCATCTAAATGTGTTAATGAAAGATGAAAAGAAATGAAAAAAAAAATATAAATGAAAAAAAATCCGAAAAACGTAGAACTCGAGCAGGGCCAGCTTCATTCCGACTTTCCCTGACAACTTGTGACGGCTGGCCTAGATGGTTTCGCGTAGGTTGAGTACCAAACAAAGCAATTGGCCACTTCCTCGCAATATCCGTTCCTTGGAAAAATCTTGTCAGATATCGTCTTGCCGAAACCATCCGCAGCATATAAATCCGCCCCGTGATCGGCCAGCAATTCCCACAATGCGACGTGGTTACACACAGTTGCAAGGTGCAGGGGTGTTCTCCCAGAACCATCTCGTGCATCCACATCCGCGCCGTGAGCAAGCAGAAGTTTGGCTGCCTCTAGATTCCCCCATGCGACAGCGACGTGGAGCGCCGTGTGGTCGTCGAGGGATTTGAACCGGACGTCGACACCTTGGCCCAGCAGCATCGATATCATATCCATGTAGCCGTGTCGGGTGGCCCAGTGGAGTGCTCCTCCGTCTCCATCCTCGAGTACCAGGTTGGGCCCTTGTTTCAATACGAAGGAGACCAACTCGTTCCTTTCGGGGCCGTTGGAGGTCAGACGGGACATGGAAAGCCCCCCGCTGTCGTGCTCCATCCGAATAATAGGCACGGAATGACCTTTCGTGAGGATCTGACGGACTAGTTGCTCATTACCGAGAGCTGCTGCCCAAAAAAGCGCGACGGAAGCATACTTTTGACTCAGTGCAAACCGTTGAAGCGTGGGAATGAGTAGTTGGGAGAACCGACGACATGATCGGATGAGATGGGTCAAATCGTGAGGCTGCAATTTCTCGGCTACTTCGAGGATAAGCTCGTTTGGTAAGGTAGTGAAGAACATCTCAGTATTCTAACGCGGGTGGAGGAAGCGACGCGAAAGAGATGGTTGTGTAAACCGAGGAATTGGGGCCCAGAATTATATAGTGAGGCATTCGTCAGGTGATATCCTGGGAAATGGCCATTGTAGACGTAGGCTATTCGGTTGGGGTTGTGATACTGGCATTGATTGACGTCGCCTAAGGCTGGGCGTCTGCCGGCTCCTGTTTTTGTTGTTGTTAAGGGGTGGGTGCGGTGGGGGCTGAATTACCGGTGTGGGAGTGTCACTGCCTACCGTACTTCCGTAATTTGAATGGTGTGATTGACCGAGCTGACACATGTGCAATCTGGTTGACCATACGATGTGACATTCAATTGGATAAGAGAGTAGAATTATGCTGATAAAGTTGAAAGTAAAATACAGTAAAGAAGACAAAGCCTGGAAGGCGGCATACGGTAGTTTGTTGTACTCGTCCACGGTGGGTTGTTCGTGTCTTTGCTCCCCTCTCCACCTGCTGAGCCTCTTCTCAAACAGAAAATTCTATGGGTAAAGACCCGCAAAACATGACCAGAAAACCCCTAAAACCTTCTTCCTGTGACACCGGTATGAATGCCGGCAGTTGGTCAGTACGAGCAGACCATGAGCTACCGGTATGATACTGTACGAGTAGACTACCGGCAGCTCAACAGAAGGTCGCGCCGCCCAAGCCGTGCTGTACAGGTACTCGAGTACTCGAGAAACAAAATGTCCCAGCAAATGCTACGGTAATTTTGTAACACTACCGGTAGCCCGTGTTGAACACTCTGGTATGGTACCATAGTAGTCGACCCTTCACAGTCCACGATCCGCGCCCCCACGGGATAGCCAAGCACTGTATTGGGTTGAGGGATAACCAATGGACAGTATCATGGGAGTAGTTGTTCACGAATATGGTATGTATGATATCATATCACAGCTGAGATACCTTAGGCCTCAAAGCCTTGCAGTAATAAAATGAGGTTAAACCTAACCCTACTATGCTCAAATCTCTGTGGAGACTTTCTCACTTTGGGTACTCGCAGTTAACCTCCTGAACGTGGCGAGCGTTGGGGATCCCAAGTGAGCCGCTATCAGAATTTAAAAGGGGGTTGTTAATTCGTAGTGGGAATTGTATTGGAAAATCACGTCAAATGCACTGAAAATCCTGCCGCTACCTACAAGTCGTCACAGCTCGGTTCGCCGTCGATTTGGGTCGTTCGTCAACTCAGAACGCGTTTTGGAGCTGTTACCTTGCCAAGAAATTTACTTAACATGCTTTCGGCATGCGTTAACACCTGTTAACTTAGTTCTGTAACTCTCCATATGGGCCTGGGCCGCATTTTGAATCAATGAACAACTCAATCAACACAAGCCAGGCTGGACCTAAGTACTCAACAGTTGGGGTCCCGGGGCTTGGATGGGGTTTGAACCACACAAATCGTCAGTCCATCAAGTCAAGACTCTAGACCCCCGGGTGTGAGGGGAATTACATATCACATAGCACCTACGAAAGCCGTGGATAGAAACCTTTTATGATGTCCGCTTGGAGCGAGAATTCCGTCACAAGGGGAGAGGACACCGTGTGACGAAGATACCTTAAAGTTCGCCCTGGACTCATTGGACATCTCATGCTATTTAAACCTATCACCCTTCTGATCGATCTTCCGCTCGTAACTCCTAGGAGAGGCCAACTGCTGCTTAGCACTTTATATCGCTCATCCAGTTCTACCAATAATTGACTGCTCACATATTGTCTAGGCTGACTTCTAATGTGAGCTGATATCTTGCGAATAGGGACAGCGCGATAAACGATTTTGCGGGGAAATCACGGGGAGAAAAATCTTGCCTTTGGGTAACCACAGAGAGCCTTGCACAATTTACTACTCACATATGGCATAGTAGGGTACTAACAAGGCTCCCTCGAGACGTCGAGGTCCTCTCGTTCTATTCGCAGCTACCAGCTTTCAGAATACGTAGGGCTCTCAAACCGATTATGAACACATATGGTGGGGGGTTTTTCAATGGAGGTATTCAGCCTCGGGGTCGAAAAGCCTTTTCCGAGTGACAGCTTTCGAGTGGTTCTGTCAGCCCTGTATGTAAAAGGGCGTTCGTGCCAAAGCCTTTCGCACGAAAACTTGCACAAACGGCCGTGGGGGTGAATGCCCCTAATGCTAAAAATTTGGGAAAAAAGATAAGCATATATTTATTTGGGTCTGCCTAGCTGTTTTGTGTAAACTTGGCACGCACAAAAGACATACAGTTTTTTTCTCACATTAGTATGGGGGCCATAAGCGGCGGCGGGGTTCTAGCTAATAAGACTCTACCAGAATCAGAAACAGTCTGCTACTCTTATATGAAGAAATCGGAAATAAGGGGAAAATGCTCAACTGTTTTCTACGTGCGTCAAAAGTGATTATCTGCCATCGCTACTAAAAGGTCACCTTGTTTGAGATATTGATGAATATTCAGGTTCTCTAGCATTTGTAAGATCGACTAACACAATACTGTGCTTTACCTCTCATTACCCTAGGGAACTCGAATACCGGTATGCTAACTGCAATGTGGGGGACATTATTGGCCAAGACAGCGAGGTAGCCTAATAGAACTCCCTTATTCATTGCCGGGAAAGTCACTTTTTAAAATTTTGAAACTCCCAGTACCATGATCCCGGTACTCACATAGCTCCCGGGGTTTCTAGTGCAGTGGGCTGACCACGGACTCTGCTAGATAATTCATGCTGGGGTGACATCTATCTCAACAACACCGGTATATCTGTGGTGAAGCGGGGTAGGGGGTATGTAGAGGGGCTATTGCTTACAAGGATATGATAGATTATCAGCACAATTGATAGTTAGTTTTCAAGTAAGGGGGGGGGGGAATATCAAAAGAAGGAGGAGGGATAAAGCCTACTCAAACCAATAGTATTTTCACAGCACTAGGACTCCTTACAACGATACACAATATATTTCTGCCCCTTTGCCAAACTTCACAGGCCCGACCAGACATTCTTGATTACCTAGTAGTGAGATACTTAGGCACTGCTCCAATAGTAGAGCTATGGTCCTGAGGCAATACCTTGTTATATGATACTACAATGCCCTGCTTACCCTATAGACCAATATCTGCAGTCATCTTTTCTGTTTAGCCTCAGGTAGGCAAATGTTGCTATAGTAGGTGTACAAGTACTGACAGCCCTACCAATAGATAGGGGATTTATCTTAATGTCTATATTGGTGACGTGTTCATGAAATAAACGACAGTAGCATAGCCCCTATTTGGTACTGGAGGTCTATGGACGCCCGGGCCCTGCTCTCCGATCCTTAGAGAGTTTACCCCAACAAGCCATGAAAATGGTTGACAAGTTACGTTTTGTTCATACCAACAGGCGGGGTTTCCAACCATCTACCAGTAGACTCAGTTACTGGAGGATAGCTAGAAATAAGATCCAAGGATAAGAATTTCGTGAGCTATGGGGGGTTACCCATGTGGGAGCACTACTAGGAGCCAAGCTGGGCCCATGGTATTCTTTCTCTCTCGCAATTCTGGGTACTAATTTTATATTTGGAATGTAAACCAGTGCCCCTCCTCCTTTGTATACCAAGTGCAAACTCTCCCCCTGTCACCCCCGCTAAGATCTATAAGCAACCTACCCTAAATTTACGGTAAGTTACCGCATCGTATTGTATCGTATTGTATTGTTTCGTGTCATGCTCTGTGTGACCACCGTTCGGACATCACCGTAGGGTCGTGGTCGGGTGAGAAATTGTGAAACAGAAGGTAAAGACTAAAGTAGCTAGAAGATATGTTTAGCGCGTCGGGTGTGCTGTGCTTCTAAGCGCCGATTGATGTTATCGTGCCAGCAATACCTCCTGTCAGCCAATACGGTACCCCATTACTCGAGTAAGTACCCGAGAATGCCAAGAAAGCGGGCTCCCCGCCCTTGTCTGGCTCAATCTTGTTGGGTCAGTTTTAACCCGGTTGGCTATGAATAGCACTCTACCGTACTCGTACAATAGTGTACCCTCCCGGCGAGACTGATAAACCCAAAAAAAAGATAAAGGACCAGTGCGAAGACACTTGGTCCTAGTACCGGTATGACAAGGGAAATTCATGTCTGTGGTTATGATAGTTGACCCCTACAAAGTATAACGAGGGGTCGAGACTAGTTGTGAGTGAAGTTGTCCGCGATGCGGACTCGGGGTAAGGGGGTTAATTCAGATCAATGCACAGTACGGTATTGGATTAATTTACCCTTAGAATCTGAAGTGGTTGAACCTCCAGAGGTACTAGACCTCCTTTTTTGTCATTTAGAGAGGCTAGACAACCCACCTCTTGCTCTCTCGCTCCCACCCTTTCCGGAGAAGGGGGTTTTGGACTACTTAGAATACGGCCCGGCTAATTGAGATTCTACAGTACCATTATTGGGGATTTGTCATGAGCGATATCTTGACATCTCCATAAGCTTCAGAGCTTGTATCATCTCACACAAACGATCCTGCCTTGCACCTTTCCCCCCGCCACCTTTCCTCTCCGAGTAAATATAGTTTTGTAGCCGTCCCTAAGGCAATGGCAACAATTGGCCAGGAGAACGCCACTAAGATGGAAAGACTTGTCGGGTTCATTTGGTAGCCCGTGTTTAACACCCCCGTGGACCTAGCCCAAGGAAGACCGGTCTCCCACCTGACCCTTGGGAGACTTGACTATTCCAAACACTGCAAGCATAAAACCCATTCATGTATGCACAGGGCAAATTTGTAACTGCTGTTTCAAGCAGGATTAGATCTTGTCAAATAAATTATGTACAAAAAACCCGAAGTTCCATTAATCCATCATATTCCCGAGTTTAGAAACCAAATCTCAAAGCCCGATATCATAGCAACCTTTCTACTAGTAGAACCATGCGTAGTAGAAATATCTTCATCGACACAGAATAGTTGTACCCCGGGAGCATACAGTTTCCGGATCTTTGCTCGACTATTTGGCTGGGAGACCAATGAAATGGCGAGGCTTGGGAGCGGACTTGAGGCCTGGGATGTTGAAGGGGAAACACTTTTCGAAAATAATCTTCTTAAGTCTCTGTATTCCGGCTTGTCAGCGATTACTCGGTGTATGGGAGAGAGGAGGGAGAGCGTACGAAGATGTTTTTCTCAAAAAGACCAGCAGATTTATCACCAAGCTCGCCATCAACACTGACTCCAAGCTCAACTGCGACTGCGGAGTTGACCTTGAAGCCAGTCTTGGAGGCAGTCGAACTCTTTTCACAAACACCATTCTCATCTGTGGAGTGAGTTAGTAAAGTGCTCAAATTGGGGAACCCTTATCCTGAATTCTCATCTTACCGAATGCAGCAATGAGCTGAGTGCTGACCACGGGAAGACCCATCTTGAGGGCAGCCTCAAGCTTTCCGACACCAATAACCTCAATTCCGAAAGTAAGCTTGGGACGAGAGACAGCGGCAATATTCAACGTAGCAGAGCCAGAGTTAAGATCAAAGACAGGATCGAAAGTGGCACCGTCAAAGCCGCTAGCCTTGGTCTTACTGAGATCTGCCAAGTCAAGGACCACGAGGGCAGTGTCCGGAAGAGTGGCAGTCAGACCGACTGTAATGTTTGCCTCACCATTGATAGTGCTCTCAACGCCAACTTCATAAGCAATGATAGCGCCAATCTCAAAGATACGGGGGATTGAAATTCCGGCACCCGGGATGGGGAAGCTAGCGAGCTCCCGTGTCAGGTTAACGCTTGGGGGAACAGCCGAAATCTTGGCGTTAACCTTCGCTTCCATGATCATTTTAGCACGGAAGTCCTGGGGGGATGCGCCAATGGTTAATTCCTTAACAGCAAAGTTGTCGACTGATATTTTACCAGCGACCTTGAATTTTCCGGCGATGAAGCAATCAACACAGTCAACGACTAGACGGGGCACGGATCGCAAGACATCAGTGATGATATTGGTCCTCTTTTTTTCGGTTCCAACACCAATGTCGAAAACGATTGTCTTATCGAGGTTGGCATCTCCAATCTTTTTGAAAGTATCTCCAATCGCATTAACACCGTCCTTGATACCATCCCCGACATCGTCGATAATATTATCGGCACCATCGAGAATATCATCAAGCAATCCACGAGCTCTCAGGCGCTGGGCGGCATCAGGTGCAAGAGAAGCAGTGCCGAAATCAAGGTCAAAAGTGCCGCAAATGTCACTCCAGTCGGCTGGAGAGGCTTTAAGAAGAGTGGTCAATGTTCCTTCGACATCATCGATCCCAGTAATGCTAAGAAATTGTTAACATTCTCACATTCAAAAATTAATGATAGGAATTAATACTTGTAAGGTTGTCTTTCATCATCCGGACCACACCCATCATGGTTAGCAATGAGCAGAAATGCGCTTTCTGATCTCTCGTTTATGAATGACCACTGCTTATGGGCATAGTCAAAGGCCTCTTGAGACTTGAATGTCAGAGCCATTTGGCCGTCATCTCCTTTGCAATCCACAGCCGAAGTAAGTCCTTCAAAGGCTTCCATCGAGACAATTAGCTCGCCGCTCGGGGCATAAAGCGTCATGTTTGCCAACATGATATTGCCATCTTGCCCTGGTGAACCGAAAATGAGCTGCGCTTGATCGGCGAGATCCAATCGGGAAAAGTCGACATTAGCTCTGGGTTTCAACCCATTCACCGCGGCAAAGACATCTGGGTTGATTGGCCTCAAGACGGTTGGTGCTTCTCCTTCGGATCTCGGCGTCAAACCAGGAACGAAAACGTCAGGACTGATAGGCTTCAATTCAACGGTGGAACGACCGATAACTGCTGCTGAGGATGCTCCAAGGAGGCCCCCGAGAACTGCTGCGTATGCTGAGGCACGCATATCTGGTCGAATATTTGGGAATTCGGAAGTAAATAAAGGATCTGAATGGTATCAAAGAACAACTTCCTGAAGATATTCTCGGAGATGGTGATGTAAAAGTTGCAATAGTGAAAGGAATGAAACAGTTGGGTAAACCAAAGAAAGAGAACGTAAGGCTGGTAGAAACCGCTGGAGAATGGAAAGAAGGCTGTTTGCCGTGGGGTAATGAACGAAAAACCCCTAGGAGCTCGACCTTGTTATATGTTTAAACTTAAAGCTGCATCTTTATTTTTAAGCCCCATCGAAATACGAGAAAGGGGTGCTGGATTACTAGTGGGGTAGCACATGTGGGGATAGCTATGGTCTCAAGTTGCTATCAGCCTTCCTATAATTTCTTGATGGTGTGCTGGGCGCTACTGTATCCAATGTCTGCAGTTGGTAGGAGAGCCAATCTGCTGGATCTTGGGGTAGCATCATATTCGAGGGTTTCTTGACCCGTTAAAATTTCGTTAAAAGCGTATCCCAGGCGCCGGTACGAGTCCCGCTTGGCCTGTGTCGCCCTCCGAAACGGTGTGAAACGGGGATGCAGGGTTTCCCGCACAATCACAACCAATAACATGACCTGGCCCAACTCCGCCGCTCATTTTCATGCGCTGCGCGCAAGAGTACCGTACGATAAGTACGAGAATCGGTACTGGTATACCCTACAAGCACTACAGTACTTGTAAGGGTAGCTGCCTGCTTGTAGAAGCTGGGTCACGACCCACGTTGTGCTCGTACTGTGCTCGTACATAGCAAGGAGCTCTCGTACCCGAAAACAGGGATTCGCAAAATACCGGTATTCCCCGGGAGTCCGTTCGTATCTAAGAGCCGATGCAAACACTATACGAGCACCGTACCGTATGATACAAACCCACGACTTCGTATTTTCGGATACTAGGACCGGTACTTCTTGCCTAAGACGAGTATCCCATGGACTAATGAGACAAGCAGGTTCCTAACCTTCTAAATCTAGTATATGTAGTATATGTATCTATTGGCAACGCAGTAATTAATCAGCGGAATATGACCTCAGCACAAAGTCATTAGACGGAGGCGTGGCGGTGCTGACTTAACGCGGTGTACGGTGCTTCTTTAATGAAGGTCCGGAATCTGCACGCCCCATCAGTCCGTGGGATAAGTTGAGGATGTGAAAATACGGCTCTTGTTGCACAACCGCCCAATTAGGGATGTCTCATTTCCAGACACATGTGCTTGGGTGCGGTACTCGAGTACAAGTACCGGCACTCTATGCTAGATACAAGTAATACCAGGACTTCTACCGTATCGATAATTTTATGTCGGAGTAGGCTGTGGATTCCCGAAGAAGTTCCTCCCTGAATTTTATGAAAAACGCCTAACTGTTGCACTGAACTCAGAAGAGTTGCCAATCACCAAGTGTAGATCGCTGATCGATTTGGTATTCCTGGGTTAGCTCGTATCGAACATTCCTAACCTGGCTGCGCCGCAGGAAGCCCACAGATGTACCCTATTACATAGAAGCATCGTCTGATGTTATATAATGAAAACTACAAATCTAAGCCTCGCGATTTGGGATCACAATTCGAGTATCCTTGGGCCAGTAAAGGTCACTGTTGCTACGATCATGCAGTTCTTCAAGCCCGTTTTTCAGTGGGGTCGGCAACTAAAGTGCTTTTGAAGTCTTTTGTGCTTTTTCTACTTAAGCCACAAGTTATTCTAGTCCCATCCAGCGATAAGAATCGTTGATCACCGCCCTCGGGTGCGCCTTTTGGCGCTCGGCCCGAAGGTGGGGTCTACCGCGTGAAAAAAAAACCCCGACCCGATTTAGTAATTTTTAAAACTCGAAGTAAGGAGATGCACATAACCACCTGCACGGGAACTTAGCTCGGAAATAACCACCCGTATCGCCCAGGAAAGGCTTACAGCGAGGCCACCTTGATAACAGTTCCACATCACCCTTCCGCTGCCGATGGCACGGTCGTTTAACCCTAGCATGCACCACAGTCATTGCAATGGTTAGCCTATATACGGAGGTACCACGCCTAATTTTTGTATATTTCAATAGCAAGGGGGTTCTCGGCTAGCAAGGGTAAGATGCCCAAACCGGGTAGTTTTCTGTGAAAGTTACCCAATCCGTGGCGAACATTACTCAATTCGTCCCCTTACCCCTGCTAGTTGAGCACCCCCTTTCTAGTAAAATATACAAAACTTAGGTGCTCTACCTCCGTACAAGTACTATCATTATATTAGTGTTTAGTGACTTACATACCACAGTCACACCGTATTCTGCGATTCCCTAAATAGGACCCTAGGTATCAATTCCGAAACCTAAGTTAATGCCTGAGTATTTGCATCTGGCTGCGGGATCGGACAATTTCCGCCGGAGCAGAGCCGGAGCAGAGCCGGAGAGCAGTGCTTATTCACCATATCCATCGGGATAATCGAACCAGAGCTTCAACCCACCTTCCGTTCCGATAGATTATCATACTGGTGCGCGTATATCAGGCTGTGACCTACTAAAGGCAAAATGTACGAGCGCATGTTTAAAGTGGAGGTGTGGTCCGGCGTGTGCTCTTCAATGTTGCCCTGTGTAAGACTGAAAGGAGGCTGTGGAAAAGTAAGCTTCCAAATCAGTAAGCCTAAGACATAGCTTAAGCCTTAAGCCCGTGGTCCCGTGCATGGAATATGGAATGTAGGAACCAACCGGGAGCCAACATAGGAAAATATTAATTAACGTGAAATCGGAATCACCCACGGGATTTGCCTTGAGCTGTACGGTAGATTCGGTGGTTGTCGATATTTTGGCACTTCTTGCTGGGGCCCACTGATTAGATTGTTTGGTTCTCTACATGCTCCTCTGGAGGACAGCGATCAATACTGCGCCATCTCCACGTCCAAACATGCAAGAGTACATCTTGAGGCCCCGAACCGCTCTATGGAGTCTGGATTTTCATATAATAATTCGGATATCATACCGGTACTGGAGTCCCGGTGGGGCAAGTGCTTCGGGTTCCTACCTCGGACTCCAGAGATATATAAGCGATGGAGCAGGTGCGTGCCCACCTAGGCATTCCCGTCCGCTTCGGCATTCCTCCTGTCAGAATTGGAAATTTTCTCAAGCCGACGGGTTTTGGAGGAGTGCAAGCCTCAAATTAAAGCAGTGCCTAGGCTCTATGGCTTTCCCCGTGATTATGGCTTGCCTAAAAGGTAATACCCTCTATTTGGATTCTCGGACTCCTTCCAGTAATGCTTCTGAAAGTATTCTTCATGAACTTCCCCAATTGTTGTCAAAGTTACCGGCCGATATCATCACTATGGGGGTATTAAATTTATCTCCGGAATGTTGCCCAACTCCATGAACGAGATATCTCTCAAGCCCTATTACGGGAACTCAAGAAAGGTCTATGTGAGGGAACCGGGGGAGATACGATTCCGGAGTTGGAAGCCCTTGCGAGACAAAAGTTCAACAGACCCAGACCCATCCTAACGCGGGTGCACCCCACAAGGCGGTCACTCTTCGGAGACGCCGAGGGACCTTTGTTCCATCTCTTTACCGATTCCACCATAATATCGTGCTCCCGTATATCCATCTGACTCCGGGTAAAATAATTGCGCCTGCTCTCCAGGGCCCAGGAGACCCCCAACCTGCTCTACCGGTATAGACAGGAAATACCGTCTGATTCGATTAACCCTCCCTCACGCAAGCCTTAGTAACTTGCCGTTATTCTAACTCTACTGGAAATCATGGTTTGTAACTAGTTCAGGGTGAGAAATATAACACCTTCGACTTATCCCACCGACACTGTTAGTGAAGGGGTAAAGATGTGGATTCGTTGACAATTTTGGAGGCACATTGAGGCTTCATGATAGAGCTGGAACGGAAGACTGGGGGTTATTGTGGCACCTCTGGAATCGAGAGCACCCAAATCCACGAGCGGTGGTGAGCCGTTAATTCCTTCTCTGTTCGTTCCCTCCATGATATGGCTGCTGTCGTATCACCACTTCTGTGTGCTCTTTCACCAGAGCCTTGGAAATGGTGAGCTAGAACGAAAAAAAGTGGGATTATTGGGTCATTAAATATTTATGCGCGGGTTTTTATTTCACCTCCATTTCATGGAGCAGGCTATCATCTAGAATTCTAACCCGTGTTTGAGCAGCTCTGCATCCAACCGCTCCTAGTAGTGATAGCTCTCTGAGTAAATTATGGAAATGTCCCTTAGCGGTTGAATAGTGTAGTACTATGTAAGTTAGTACTATACGAGGGGTTTAATGGCAGATACTTAATAATTTAGAGTCACGAAGAAAATTTAGCGAGATGAAGGTACAAGTTAAGGGCGAAAATTTTACAGGGACAAAGTAAATAGGTTCCTTGGTTCATGACTCGTTGTGCAATACCACTTAAACTGGTGAAACTCGTTTTCACGTTCCTAGAGGTCAGAGTATGGTGTTAGCTTTACCGTATTGTAGGATCTCTCGTGAAGTGGCCCTTCTCGGTGCGGTATGATACCGGTAGTTGCTTCAGTTTCTTGTAAATAAATGGCGATGTCTCGGAAGGAATGCCCTGTGGAAAATGTTTATAATATTATCATACTAGAAAATATCCTACCCTGAAGGCTATTGTCTACTCAAAGGAGCTCGTACATAAAGCCACACTTTGGGGCTGTTTGGCGCAAGAAGTCCGCCAATTCGAAATGCGTTTTGGGTTGATAGGAACAGTTATAGAACTAGGTTAATGGTTGTATACCGGTATGCATGTTCAAGGGAATATTAAGCTAATAGCTTAACATGGTAATCTAACTGTTCCAAGACGCATTTTGAATTGACGAACTGCTTCTTTTGAAGTGAAAACTAACTTAGTTCCACCGGTATCCTCCGACTCTTTCTACAGTACGAAGAGGGAGGTGGATAATCTAATTTACCGGTATGGTATGGAGCACACATGAGCAACAGATATCGCGATGATCAGATAACAGTCCCACTAACAGATAGCGGTGGATACCGGCAGGGTCTGGCTGGAACTAACTGAGTCCAGGTACGATAGTCTACCTGTAGACCTCTCACATTCTAAATTTTTTTTCAACCCCTCCCACCCTCAGGCCATCCACGAACCGACAAATAAAACAACTACGCTCCTTAAATCACCAATTTCTCTTCCCCACCCCCTTCCTTTGATTTCAAAGAGTCTTAAAATGCGTGTCATCGCCAATTCCCTTCGCTCGATCCCCTCTTTACGCCTGGTCCAGAGGGCCGTTGCTCGACCGTTATTTAAAGTCCCGGGCATTAGGCAATTGAGCTCTACCCTCCCCCGCAGGATCGAAGACGCCCCCGGCCCGTACCAGTTCCAGGAGCGTTTGAGGCTTGGCTCTAGGGCGCCGAACTTCACGGCCGAGACTACGCATGGGAGGATTGACTTTCATGAGTTCTGCCCCCCCCCTTCTCCTCGCCCCATTCCACTTCTAGGGGGACACAATAGCTGATAAGGAAGCAGATTCATTGGTGACAGCTGGGTAGTCCTATTCTCCCACCCAGCTGACTTCACGCCTGTCTGCACAACGGAACTCGGTGCCTTCGCGAAGCTCGCCCCCGAATTCGCAAAACGCAATGTTAAGCTCATCGGCCTCTCCACCAACGGGCTCGCCTCGCACGACCAGTGGACCCGCGACATAGACGAGGTCACCGGATCCTCCTTCCATGGTTCCCGGCCCACGGAGTCCTTCCCCATCATCGCCGACGAGAAGTGCGAGGTTGCATGGCTGTACGATATGGTTACAGCCCAGAATTCGATGAATATCGGCCAGAAGGGAATTGCGTTTACTGTTCGCACTGTCTTCGTTATTGATCCGAAGAAGACGATTAGGCTTACCATGAACTATCCTGCATCCACGGGGAGGAATTCGGCGGAGGTGTTGAGGGTTGTCGACTCTCTGCAGATGGGTGACAAGAACGGAGTAGTGACGCCGATTGACTGGCAGGTTGGGCAGGATGTTATCGTTCCACCAACCGTTACTACTGAGGATGCCAAGGTGAAGTTTGGAGATGAGAATGTTAGGGTGGTTAAGCCGTAAGTTTTTTTCCTTTTGACTTGCATTTTGTTCACTTTTCTTGCTTCGGGAGAAGAGAGCTAATCGGTATTTGGACTCAGATACTTGAGATTCACTACCCTGGGCAAGTAGAATGTTATCTGGGGCGTCCCTTAGTGCGGCAATCAAATACATATTTTTGCGGTATCTAATTATTTTTAGATAACTAACTGTATAGTTAACCACAAATACTACACTTTAGAAAAGTAATGCAATCACAAGGCTATTGTTTTCAGATAGCAGATTTCTGCGCATCACTAATACTTCCCGTGCTTCATTTCTCCTTTTCACGGCTTTTATATATCTCCTCTACGTGGAACCCTACAAAATGCTACTCACTAGTTAGGGTTTATGGGGATGAATCGTATTTATATTTAGTCACTCGTGGACATCGATTATATACTTCTAGCTCGCGGGAAATGCCTAATGGTGATAGCTAGCAAGCAAGCTGGCACCCCCACGTCTTCCAATTACTTTCCATGAATTAACACCAAAGTCCATCTATGCCTCCCCACTAATCTGCACCGCCTAAGCCTACGAGAAAAGCAATTAGCATAAGAAGATGCTCGGCAGGGTACGAGACACATACCCGCTATAAGTGCTAAGTACCAGCTTTTACTCGCCCCAGGATCAAGGTATTCATTGACAAAATCATCGCTGGTAAAAAATGCCCAGCTACCCTTTGGATCGAAAATTGCTCTATTTGCTTGCAATATACCGTTCCATCCCCCTTCGCTTTTGTTCACCCTACCGTTTGAAAACCAGGTTTCCCATTCTTCTCTGCAGAAAACTGGGTCACGATACCAGGGTGATATGGGAGTGATTGGTATCATGTGTATTCTAATCGGGTGGTCAGTTGAGCATGAACGGGGTGGGTTGGAAGGGTTGGTACCCTTGGATATATTCCTTGACGTGGCCAAAATATGTTGTGTGGTCCACTTTGTTTTCAAACAACTATATAGGCGCGTTAGCCCGGAAAGCCTGAAAGGAGGAAAGTTGCACACACGATCCCTGTGACTTTATTCTTTATAAAACCCGGGGGATGGTTTCTATTTCCATTTTTCAGAAGAAAGTATTGACTGAAACTTCGCTTCATCACACTCAGCATCAGATCGGCCCGGGCTTCCATCAATTTGTCACCAGTTACTAAGCCCCAGAGCTTTTGGGAATATCCATAGTTCATGTCTTCGCTTGAAGATTCTTGGTCTTTGCCATCTGAGGATTCAAAAAGGCCTTTGGCCCAGGAGTGGCCATGGAACCAGTCAAACGAGCGGGATTCCGGAAAATAGGGGTCCAAGGTGCTTGGGTTAGCCACGTCACGTATGAGTAGATTGATCCAGTCCCCATTGCGTTCCAACCAGGGTGATTTTCCATTGTTTAGACACCGCTCTAACCGTACGATGACAGCGGCGGTATATACAAAGTATCCGTAATGGAAGTGGTGGTCGTTATACATGCCGTTCCCGAAGTCTGCCAGCTGGCCCTGCTTAATTGCACTGGTAATGATCCCCTTCCAAGTTTCTGATAAAACTCGGTTAGTGAAATGGTTTCAATAACTGATACGAACATTTAGAAAGAGATACCGTCATATACGAGTGGAGGATTTTGACGGTTATTGACATAGGGATCTAAGGCTGCAGTCAATTTCCCCAGCGCTTCTCGGGTCAAGTTTTCCTTTTTTACAACGTCGTACGCCAATAAAGCAAATTGTGCCCATTTGGCAAAGGCCTAAAGATCGGATTAGCTCATACCGCGAATATTAGGTCGAGTGCAACTTACCTTCCCGCTAAAATACATGCTATTCAGATTCGTTTCATCTATAATATTGCTCTTGAGCTCGTTGAGCAATGTTCGCTCGATCAGCTCTGTTGCGTGTCTATTTAGCCCCTGACCGCGGGTGACTAGCCAACTAATGTTCGTGGGTAGGTTTCGCTCAACCATTGTCCAGCTATTTCCACGGACAGCTTCCATAAGGCCCTTCGTTGGGGATTGTAACTTGAGGCCGGTTCTTCCCCTTGCCGTATTATCATCAAAACTCGCAACATGATGTGCCAAAGCATACATCAATGCGCCTTTGCACTCCTCGTCTTTCCAGCCTTTATACTCAAATTTGTAGCGTCCGACATCTCCAGCCACACCTCCTGTCATCTCAACCGTAGCAGGATATACGCCAGCCGCTAAATCCGTGATTTCCTCAAGACCACTCTTCTGCCCCTCAGCATCGGCTTTGGCGATTTGTATGACTCCTGTGAACCCACGGGACCCTACTAACCCTTCCACAGGATCATAGGTGAACTCTGGTGACTCGGACCCATCTGCTGGAAAAACATACAGGAGCCACATCCTTCCATTGGACAGACTTAACCTCCATTTCTGCGTTCCGCCGCGAGGGCCTGGAAAGGCTTCTATCTCGACAAATTCAAAGGATGAGGAAATAACAGGGGTCAGCTGATCATATCTCCCCGTGACAAACCCCATGCCTTGCACAAGAGGAAAGGCTATTTTGTGTCCAATTAGACCGTATTTATCAGTATTTGCGTGTAGATTAAGGTTGACGGAGCGACTATGGGGATTGGTTAGAGAGATATTTGAGCGTCCCTCGGCGAATTCTTTGGCCGAGAATGTGATGGATGCGATGCCGATAGGAGAAATATAGTATTGGTATGGATCAGCACTTGGAACGGGTCCTGCTATCTGCGGCCGTTAGATACATAATAGCTGCTACCTGTGAAGGAAACCAAGCTAGGGAAAAATGCCTACGAATTGGTGCTGTTCTGTGTGGGAGACGCTTAGACCGGGTATCCTACCCGTCTTGTTCCACCAGATCATGTATGGCAAGGTCCAGGCGCCCCCGGTTTGGGTACCAAGAAAGAGGTTGGAGTAAAATCTTCAAGAGATCAGCCACCATCCTCGGAACGCATTTAATGGGTAATTGGCGCACTTGTTTGTAGAAAGAGGCTCATCTGGGCTCGTTTTTGGGAAAAAGTTGCGACGAACTGGATGCTCGGAAAATCTACCAAATTGGCGGCCAGGTGGTTTTGTGGATATTGGTTCCCCAAAGAGATGGTCAAGACGGCCACCTTGACTGTCGGGACCAGACATTGTGATATTGTGTAAGTGATGCCTGGCTATTTTGACGTGAAGTCGGGGTCGAACGGCGGTATTGAAGTGAGCGTTGTGTCTGCTGCTTTTGACGGGGAGAATAAAGACTGATAAAAAGAGGAATGCGGGGAATAATTTCCCGAACTCGATACGAGTGGATGTGGGAAGTCTGTATGATCCGGAAGGGCTCATGAAAGTTAGGATACCAATATTATTCTGAGATAGCCAGTGCAAACGAGAAATAATGCAATGTGGGTGAAAAATTAAGAAAAGAATGTGGGCAGAGAAGTAATTGAGATAATGGCGGAAAATTCTGCCAAAATTCAACAAGATTTCGCCTCGGACATCATCTGGCCGCATCTTGCTGGGGCACCGATAACCCTATTGCCTCTATAGAGGCCTTCAGATAAACGGTATGGACACGCAAGCTGATTGTGGGTACAAACAGCAAGGTGGTGAATCCGGCTCCTCTTTTGAAGCTTGGAGTAGCTGCAAATAGCTGCGGGAATCATGGCCTCATCTCCACTGCGTGAATTTGATCCCTTGCAATCCCTGGGCTAGATGCATCGGTTCCGGACTGACGTACCGGTATTCCAACTCAGGAAAAGGGGGGGAATTGAGCAGGCATTGCAACGGCGATCAAACCGTCGGGATTTCTCCCGTGGGTTTACGGGGAAGGCTACCGTACTGGTACTCGAGTACGGTACAAGTGCAATAAGCGCACTATATGCTCCCCGTGATCTCGTCCCGGGCAAGAAGTACCGGAAAATAGGGATCAAAGGTATGAATCGCGGAGAATCTGTGCGTATTTGGACACCCATACAAAACATACCCCCTTGTTTTTGGGTACATCTCGCCTGTAACGAGTAGGGTGGATCAAGGGCAGATGTTTAAGGGCGGGACGGCCCCCATGATCAACCGAGATGGGAGAATTCAGGGATGGCTCCTGACCCGGCGAAGCGGATGGAGCGATTTCAAAGTAGAAAACGCAATAGGCCGGTGGAGCGAGTATTCGGTCAGGAGGAATTTGGGCTTGGAACGCGAGAAGTCAACAAGCAGAATGAAAAAACGCTGGGCCTCACCTTTCCGGGTGGAGAGCCTGATGGTGCGATGGACCTACCGCAGTTAGTGCGCCGAGGTGCTGTAGGTGGGGTCCCCAGTTCCCCTCTCTCGGACGTTAGGAAGTGTGGTTGGGTTCCTTGGGGGGGTAATGTCGATGAGGGCGTTAGCTGTGTTCTCACCTCGATGGAAAGCTGACGGAGGAGGGGTTCAATGATGTTAGCATAAGGTTTGTTGGAGCACCGGAGATCGAACTACCGCATGATAGCGGGAGTGACACTGGACGGGATGATGCGATGCCCCGATCCCCTTGACTCGCTTAGGCTCTCGCGCCCGGTGCCATTAATTTTGGCGTTTTTGGGAAATTAACATAATATTGCGGGGGACGTCGTGAATCAACACACCCATTGGTAAAAGTTACGCAGCGGTGCGCATACTCGAGTATGATACGGTACAGTACCGGCACCTGGGTAACGGAGGGTGTACGGCAATCATGCTCGCACTGACCGAGTCTTTTACCTTACTCCTACACATCAAAACGCTTACAACATGAAAAAAGAAAACTGGAAAAAGTGACAAGTTGCGGACACATAGGAAAATCATGTCCCTCAGAACAAGCCAAAGCCCCGCATCCCGGCAACCCCTCAAAAATGGTGACGGCCCAAGAGAGCGGAAACTCGGAAGAATATTACCTGTCGAAGTGCCCCGTTTGGAGCCATGCGGAAACTTCCTCGGTTGCCGAATCAGCTTGGGCGGGGGATAGGTTGAACCGAGCTGGGTACTGTGGGTTTGCATAGTCCCTAACCGCATAGTCGGAAACGAGTCCCACGCTCGAAGCAGCATGATCCGAATACTGGGCCGGGGATGCGGGTGACTCCTGACGTCTTGAGCCCAATATCCGAGAAACAGCGGCTTCGAGTTCCGACGATATTTTGGCGTTGTCTGCGGCTGTCTCGTTACCCCTTTCCCCAGATCTGGATAGGGTCAGGATGCCGAAGTTGATGTCTTTCTCATCATTTATGGGGATCTCGTCGGTCCCCTCCATCGACGAGCCTTTTTGCCCTCCTTCTCGGACCAAGCGGTTTAGCAGCAAAACTACGAGAGCGTTGAAGATGTATTGGTGGTCTGTGAACGAATGGTGAGAGATCCATCCCGATTCTTCGAGCTGCTTGGCTAGCATCATGTTCCTTCGTGCAGCACTGATACACATACTGACATGCTCCTCGATATATGCAGGAAGGCTCGGGCTATTGTCGGAGGAGAGACAGAGAGCAGCCGTGCGTTGCTTGGCCGCTAGTAGCAACGATGGCCTAGTCGTCACAATGTACATCTGTCCCGGGCCCTTAGCTGGTATTACGAGGATGGGGTCAGGATAGACTACCTGGTTGTGCAGTAGGTGCAGGAGGACAACCGAGCGCTCCCTTGCAACACCGTTCACTAATTTAATCTCGGGCGGCAAAGTCTCGCTCCATGTGTTGAGCTCTTCATGGACCCTCTCGATGGTTTTAATAACGTCTTGTCTCTCCCCGGGCTGTCCTGGGGGCCCCTTGCGGATCCGATATACCCCTATGTTCACAAGTCAGCACTCGATATCTTTGATGCGCTGGCAATGAAGAAAGAGGTTTACTGCTCGCAACATCTCCTATTATCTTGCACAATCGTACGTGGGCGGAAAGGCCGGCACCTGACGGTAACGAATCATCCTGGATGTATGTGAGAAACTTTGAAGTGACCGTTATCAAAAAGAAAATCTTACAACATCCCCAGGGAGATCTAGATCAATATCGTCGTCCGATAGCATTACCGGTCTCCCCGTGAAACAACTGAATATCCTAGTATCAGATCGCGTTAGTTACGGGCACCCTGGAGAACTCCTTACATAAAGGTTTCAGGGTTAGGGTTCAACCTGTCAAGCACATAAATGTTCCAAAATTCACGTTTGCCTTCTTCATATTCTACTCTCTTTCCGAGATCTTCATTAGGGTTGAGTGGCGGAGTATCCCGACAGCTAACCCCGCTATAGCGCCCTGCCCCTCCCTGGACCCATTCTCCTTTTCTCCATGTGCGATGGAGTCCGTGTGATACTGCCATCCTAACCGCGAGACCTACATACATGTACGCAGCGTCCCGCCTACTAGCCGACAAGAGATAAAATGCCATTAGGGTGACTGCCCGGAGATACGGAAGAGTGGCTTCTTCTATTGGATTCACGAGGAGGAGTTTGGCCCGCGAAAAAAATGGCATTCCCGGATGAGTATTCGGACTCGTGTGGGGATATGATCCAGGATGGTCTCGTGTGGGATCGTATCCTTCCATTAGTGGAGGAACAGCTGTCGAACTAGGGACCGGACGCCAGGAAGGCGGCAGGCCAGTTAATCCCTCTTCGATCGGTGGACCGCCTGAGCTAATCGCCGCTGCCTGGCAACCCAAAGCTAAAACCATATTAAGTGTACAGAGAGTCGTATAATCGACTGACGACACCCCCCCACCTACGGATGCACTGTAGGTCGCTCCAGAATACAAGGACTCGATATCCAGGCAAAATTTTCTTGGGTTAAACCAGTGAAATATCCCACCGCCAGCAACAGGATGGCTTGCTGTGCCACAGCCATGAAATTTCAAGAAGATTTCTAAGCATTGGAGCACCTGCCCTTTTGGCGGTAGGGCATAAGGCTCTGTGACGGGTAATGATAAAGGCAAATTATCATGACCGTAGTATGAGGATGTCACCGAGGAGAACGATTCCATGGGGTCAGCAGGAAAGCTTCGGCCAATTACATACCCAGGCTGTCTGGGTATGAGAGGAAGGGTGGACCGGATGAAGTCTCGGACTTTGTCAAGAAAAGCAGCTCCTCCGCAGTCTCCGATGAAGCCTACAACCAGCGAAGAGGAAAAAGAAAAAATGAGTTCCTAAACGCTCTTCGACCCCGGTAGCGGATTTGGGGGCTTACTGGAATAATTTTCTGGATGTGACAGAAACCGCCCTTCTTCATCCTCTTCCCCATAGTCTTCGTTCGGCGTGGTAGGGCTACGGTGCCCGACATTCCCGCTTCCTGGCCAGGGCGGCGATGATGGCCCAACAGCAAAAGAGCCTGGAGGCGTGGTGTGGCCTTGAAGCTTTATTCCGTGGCGACTCATAAGTTCTTCACGGACATTTTGGTCCGGTATGCCCTCAACAAGCGCCTTCTCAAGTGCGAGAATTCGCGTTTGCAGTTTTTCGACATAAATTTCCGGGATCACGATCTTGGCCGAGGCCGGTGGATAAGTGCAAGGGATATTCGCAATATGGCACTGCCGGCATGGCTGTTCCCCGGTACCTAGATTCCAGTTAGTATGGGAGGGTTGCCCTATTGTTGAACGTAGGGATGGCTTTTTGAGGTAATCCTCACATCTGATTTTACGTGTTTTGCAATGATCGCATCTGGATTTCTGTTAGCTCCTTGTTTCCCCCAGATCCTATTAGTAAGTGGGGGCACCGAACGCTACAGCAATCCTCTTCCTATCTTCATCGCGCACTTTCGGCCGCTGGCGGTTTGTACTAGCTCGCCTTCGGTTTGGGAAATGTATATCTAGGTCGCTAGACATCTCTGCGTCGGCGTGGAGTGTGGATGGCGAACGGTGCGGTGTTCGCTGTCGTTGAGGCGGTTCCGGGGCAAATTTTTGGAAATGTGGTTGTCAGGCGGTAAAGAGGGTGTGAACCTAGTTTCAGGTCTCGAATGATTATTATGTCTTTTCTAAGTGCCGCCCGCTCGTTTGGATTGGCACGATTCGGGGGATTCTAAGCAATAACTCGTTAGTGTCTATAGGATAGCTATGATACCAGCGTTGTACGATCCTGAGCCCTAAGTCAACCTTGAAGCAGCGGCATGCCATCGATAGCCTGCCATGCTGAACTCCATGGCCGGCATCCTGGGCAGCCCCCCGAACTAGCTCTATTTGCCCAGAGTTCACGATGTCGGGCTTCATATCTGGCAAGAGATCCTGTGTTTCACGAGCGGAAGGTACTCACAGAGAGACCTCGGAAGTCCTGGGTCCTTCAGATAATTAAATCAGTATTTGATAGACACTACTACCGGAAGAACTTCAGCTAGCTCGGTGCCTTAGGGGTCTTCCAGCATACCGGAACTGGTGGGTTTTAGTTGTTGCTCTTAACGGAATGCGCGAGACTCGTTGAACAACGCTTGCAGGGCTGACCACCTTCATACGTTAAAAAAGAGTCGGGATGAAGGGACTGCTTTCTCGGAAGGATTCGAAGGACTGCCTGTATTTTCCAACCCTTCTACAAGCTTGATTTTTCATGGAAGGCTTGTGACAATATATACAAGTTCGTTATCCCTAAATCTGATGGGATCTTCTCCAGGAGTCACAGAATGCCCTTAGAGCTTGTTTAGATTGCCTGCCGGCTACTGATATTTGACTATGTGTTGGGAGACACAGCAGAGGGGTTTCTTGAAACTACCACGTGGATGGACTCCTGTTTTCTCTATCCTTGTGTGGGAGCAAGCGAAATGCCCGGCGCGTGGGAATCCAGAAGCAGCCCGACAGTGACTGGTGCACCAACCCCCAACAAGGCTATACCCGTGATTGAGCGACGTTTGCGAACATGACCACCATTGCATGACACTAAGATCTAAGAAAAAAAGCTGAACTTTGGCGGTATGCAATTACAGCCGTATTCACAAAAGTCGTTAAACTACGAAGAGATGGTCAACTTGCATGTGTATTTGCATAAGGGAATCGACTGAGGATTGCTTAAAACAATAGGACACATATGGCATGGGGCATGATACAGCAAGGTATGCTTTCATTAGTCCAAACTCTAATTACGTCCTCTTCTAGGAGATCTGCTTTCATGCAAAGGCTTCACAGCTAACATCGTATTTCCTCGATTACAGTTGTGCAACGTTTTCTCACATCTTATTCGACGGGTTGCTTTAATGGGGTTATCCCCTCTCCGTGAATTGGATAAAATCATTGGGCAAAGGCTTGCTGAGTAGTGCCTGCATTCCTCAGAACACATTACATGAGGACGGCAGCCCGTACCGCGAACCTGAGCATATGCGGAGTTTGTATTTCTGTCCAGCTCATTTATCGGGCGGAGTAACTCCCGAAGAAGAGTGATGTGCCACCGGGGTTGCAGAAAAAACCGCGCCTTTGAACTAAGCAGCGGCAGGGCGTAGAATGAATATGGATATTCAAGTTGCTGGGGGGGGGGGGAGGGTTTTGTCACTATATATATATATATCACCGATTTTGACTGTTGCGTCAACATCACTACGCTCCGTCCTGGGTCTCGCCCACACTATTTCTGCTAGAGTCTGAGTCAACGCAAAGTACTATAATTTTTGCAAGCAAATAAACGGAGATAACTAGAAAATCTTGCTTGCCGCTGTCTCGTCTTATCTCCGTTGAGAAGAGATGCCCGAAAGTTCTGCACATAGCTCGCGTTCAACACAGGATTTTCTTCCCGATCGAGTAAGAGCTGAGTGACGGCACATGACAAAAGAGGTTATTCGGGGGCTACGCTTGATCTCCGAGAACAAATTTTCAGATATTGGTCTCGACCCGCGGGAAGTGCGAAGTGTTGGATCGGAGTTCGTTTATGACAGGTATCGGGAGAGGATGCGAACTCCACTGAGCGAAACTAGGTAAGACTGATTTTTTTTAATAGTTCATGGAAAGGGAAAACCTGAGATTTGTTTATATTTCTATCTTGCTTACCGATTTTCCGGCATTTACACTCGATCGAGGGGCTAGGGGTTTGGTGCAGTGCTTTGGATTGTTTGGGGAAGGACTTTTGATATGAAATCCAGTCTTTCAAATCGGATTTATTCCAGCCACATTGGCCTAATCTCGCCACTAGCCGATAATGCCTATGCATAGAAACTGGCCATATCCCAACCGCGTGATCTACAGGAAATGCATGTTGATGGAACTCAACACCCGAAACCGAAAATTTCGGAGTTACGTTCCACTCAATTGCCTTGAACTTCTAACAACTGGGGGATACATGCTGCTCGCTCGTGGAGGGGATATGATTCATGTGGGCATACGCAATGCAGACAGGACCTTGGGCGTCAAACTTGCATAAGCTCGACATCGCTCCTCTCAAATACTCTTATTATCCTTGGGAATTCCTGGCGCTGCAAGTAGTAATGATCGAGTTACCTTTTATTTCAAGATGGGGTGAGTGAGCCTGAATCTGCCGCCCTGGACAGCACACTTTCCACCACGCCTGGCCTCTGTTAGTGCACAGAAGCTATACCTTGTTATTAGGCACCAATACTATCCTCAAAATTGCTTTTCTGCTTGCCACCTTCGTGGTTCACCAACCGCTAGATCCCACGACGTACTTGCACCCCTGTGCTTGGTCTCCCTTCGACAAAGAACCTATGTGGGTTACATCAGCGGGGAAAGTCTCGGGCCAGTCACTCTTGCAAGGGCTCGGGCTATCACCGATTTGTGATACAGACAGATTAGGCGCGTGGACACTACATCTCGTGCTCGCTACCGAATACTATATCCGCTGATAATGATACTTATTTATTGGGGTCCTGATGGCATTATCCCCTGGGCCGACCAGATGTGTTGTGACCACCTTGGCTGTAGGAAACCTCAGGGAAATGTGCCATGCTACAGCGGCTAGTGACATTTTCGAGCTGATTCTCATACTTTCCTTTTCGGGATGCCTGCCGTTCTAAATCCTTGGGTTCCGTCCAAGCTCAGGTATCGCCATCCATAATCTCACAGGAAGTCATCCCATAGCGCTCCCGGTAACTTCCGTACCAACCTCTATCCTCTCGCCAACACAGCCTTACCCACTCACCATACCCGGGCATCGCCACTCCCTGTGTTCGCCCAGTGCGGTTCCTCGGGTGCTGTGGTCAGTCCCCTGTAGACTGTATTTCGGCGCTGGTATGTGGGGGTTTCTGCGTTGTAAATCCGTTCACATATAACGCTATCCGCTTGCCACGGTTCGACTTATAGTGCTGAGCCCGATGTGCCTGAAAATCCAAATTTGAGTACTCGGGTAGTCGCGTAGATATGAATGATCATTGGCTCTTGGTAAAATTTCGGAAACTTGTCTCTATGATATATAGCCTACCAACTTCCGGTGGTTTCGGCCCATTCATTGCTCGGTGATAGAGAGGCAGAGTATATTCGAGCCGCAATGGTAACTCGAACACAGTGCCTCAAGGTCGAAGCGATCCAGCATCTATAGTTGTGCGCCTTTAGAGTTCTTCAACCCCCTCCCGAGCGAACTCTTGTCTAGATCGTGTTTGGGTAGTCCTCCCAGATAAAAGTTCTTCGCGTCACATCTTTACTAAAAAAGATACGAGAGCCGAATAACCAAAAGTGATAGGTCCAGCCGAAGGCCTACGGGATCGGGAGTCAGGACCTGCTTGCTCGCCTATTTAATTTGGGCTTATCAAAGCTAGGACACATCTCCCGGACCTCCGTTATATTCATCCCAGCTATCCGGCGCCTCGATCTTCGCTTAGCATATGTGGATACAGACGATGCGAGTGATATCTTATGACTACCCCTTACCCTAGGGCGGCACGGGCTAAAATTTTTTGATGGGCAGCTCTGAACTGGTCTCACCCGTGACTGCTCTGAACCCAACTCCCGGAGCTTGCCTGATAGCTTGTATGTTGGTTCCAAAAACTCTTTGACTAATCGGAATGATTGGCATCCTCCCAAGTACCACCTACTTTGGTAACAATGGCAGGCAAGCAGTTTCAGCCCAGCTTGTACCATCCCTGCCAGTGACATCCCGGGCACTCGGGGTAAATCTCGAAAGCGGAGAAAATTTTGTGCCAAAGCTGGCCTTTTTCCTTTTTTTTTTCCCACGGGGGGAATAGGAAGGGTTGCGTTGCGCACTCAGGGGCTGATCATAATTCAATATTACTCCCCAGCCTCCAGAAGACCCGTTTGGATAATGTAAGATATTTGGATTTATAGAATAGATACTCCGACTGCTCAAACACCAATTACTGGTAAGCTGCAGAAACATGGGGCCTGAAGCGTGGTTGTCTAGGCAGTTCTAGACTGATTGATACCACTGGGTGCGTCGATTAGTAATTCCCTTAACGTGACTGCCTGCAGTATCTCGTATCCAATGTTAAGAGCAGTGGCGTTGGCGCTATGTATCCGAGCGGGCCATTTCCAGGGTATCAAGCCCTGCTTTGCTCACAATGTAGCCTCGTAAGGAGTGCATGCCACTGCGGGTAATACTGCAGCAATCCCGTTGCAAGCCGCTGCACTGGCTCCTCTATGTCCAGTATTGCACTATCCTGTCCGACGTGGCCCACGTGTTCTGAGCATAAGACGTGTCCTTCCTTGAGTGTAGGTGCTTGTCAGTAGTGATCAGCGAGTTTTAGTGGAACAAAATCTCGCAAGATATTCGGCATGGGGGGGGTGAGCGTTTGACCTAGGGTGGTGGAAACTCCCTTTTGGAAGTTGCATGTCTTAACCTTTTAGGTAAGGAGTAGACCGATGAGCCAGACGCCCTAGAAGACTGTACTGGCCAGACCAGACTGATACTATAGCTATGTTAATAAGTAGGAATTAGCCGAGATATA